TTCAGTTTTATCAATCGAGGAATAATTTCGGAAAACTAAACAGACTCCGATTGGGACAAATTATATGTCATTCGACTCAGCTCGGCGAGCTGAGTCGAATGACATCAAAATATCAATTGGGACGTAACTATGGGCCGAGATACAGGGCTCGAAATAGTCAAAAACCATAGGGGGGACCAAGCACTTTTTGGGGTGAAAAATTCGAATATGCAAATAATAGCTCATTTGAAAGAGCTCTTCAAGCTGAGTCGAATAATACCAAAATCGCAGTGATTGGTTAAGTTTTTTCGAAGTTATGACAGAAAAACAAACAACGTAAACCTATGGGGCGTCGGCAAGGCGCTTGTGCAAAACTCCGCGCTTCGCGCGGAGTTTTGCGGCACGCGCCTCGCGGGGAGTCTACGGGCGCTGGGTCTGGGCTCGTAACTTAATCCTATTCCAATTATCGCTGTGATGGGCATGCCCGGCTTCCTCCGCAGCAGCAAGAACATCCACGGAGGCCATAGGTAAGGAGCTAAAACAAACGAGCATAACTTTGTCAAAACAAGTCGGATTTCGCTGATTTTGGTGTCATTCGACTCAGCTTGAAGAGCTCTTTCAAATGAGCTATTATTTGCATTTTCGAATTTTTCACCCCAAAAAAGTGCTTGGTCCCCCCTATGGTTTTTCAATTTTTCTGGACCTATAACTCGGCACATAGTTACGTCCCAATCGATATTTTGATGTCATTCGACTCAGCTCGCCGAGCTGAGTCGAATGACATATAATTTGTCCCAATCGGAGTCTGTTTAGTTTTCCGAAATTATACCATCAATCAAATAAGATTTCCAAGTTCATCTTGACCAGCCAATTCATTTAATAAGCGCTGCGCCACGTTTTCTACCGGTTCCAATGTACGAGGAGTTGAAGACGAAGGATGGCCGTTCTCATAACCTGCAATAATTTAATAGCTATTGAGCGTTTTAATAAAAAGTTTTTACCTCCAATATCCTTCAAGTCGCGAACCATTTCCGAACATTTGTTGACCATTTTCCGGCCTAAACGATCATATTTTAAAAATCATAGTCAATTTCCCAGCAAATATCCTTCATGCTACACCCTTATTTGGTTATAGCAATGACCCGTCGATTGAATAGAATGGATTTTGAACAAGTTATTAACAATCAATCGTGGAGGAATATATTTTAGTCAGTATAGTGTAATATATATCATTAGGGTTTTAAATTTAACCAAGACAAACTTTTCAAACAATAACCTATCATCATATACGACTCATTTTTACATTAAATATAAAAGGATGTTGCATAAAGGATAAATACCGATTTTTCTATAAAAAAATTTAAAAATTCACTAACTTAATGCAGCATGTAATTTACGTTTATGTGCTTCAAGTGTGCCTTCCAGACGTTTCCAATTGGCGTAGTAATCATCTCGTTGCGCGGCCAATTTTGTCACTTCACCATATGCCGCTTGAAGACCATCGTGAAAATCTTTACGTTGTTTACGAAGTTGTTCTTCATATTTTTCAGCTTTAGCCAGATGAGCAGCTTTCAATTCAGAAATAATTTCTTTCTTTTTGGTTTCCTGACAAGTGAAATATAATAAAATTTATTAACACCCACTTTTCGTCCCATAAAAGCGGGGTTGAGCAAAGGGTAATCGGTTCTTTAAATTTAGGTTATTCCTACTTTAATTTATTTTACAAAATTTGTTAAGGGCTCGAATTGACTGTGTAGCCTTAACTCATTCTTAGGGCTAAAAGAAAATCAGTTTAAGATCCGGAGACTTAAAATTTGTTATTTAAAGTAGAATATTTTTGATTCAAGCCAAAATATTCTTCAATTAATTCTCACCAATAATTTCTTATTGTCAGCATCCTTTTCTTCCAAAAATTTTTCAAATTCGCGCTGGGCTTTGACAAGCTCTTGATTACGTTGGTCGCGATCCTCCTCAAGTGATTCAATGAGTGCCTTACGCTCACGCAAATCGGCCGACATTTGACGCTCTTTTTCACGAAAACTTTCAATAATCTCGTCTCTTTCAGCTAACTGAGCTGACAAAGCTAATGATTAAAGGAAAATTAAAAAATTAAAATATTAAAGTAACTATCTTGATCGTGTAATAAACGATCGCGTTCCAATGCTAGAATGTTTTTGTCAGATTGTAATTTATTTACGTGCTGATTAAGTGAAGCTGATCCCTTTTGAAAAATAATTATTAACAAACTTTTTGTTGTTAAAAACCTGATTGAGAGAAGTAATCTGTTCTCCAAGTCGAGCAATTGTCTGTTCTTGTTGTTCACATTGACTTCTAGAACGGCTCAAATCCAGAGTTAATGAATCGACTCTTGCATTTGCAGATTTTAAGTTTGATGTACGACGCCGTTCAGCATCCACAAATTGTCGAAGTGTTCGAATAGCTTCGTCTGCCATCTATTAAAATTTTATAGAAATTTGAAAGATTCTAACCTCCTTATTAAGCCTCATTTGTTCAGAACAAACAGTTTCGGCCGTCGTTACACGCGTTTCTAATGCATCCAATCGATGAGCTTGCTGTTTATTACGTCGTTCTAATTCTTTATAACGCATCAAATAAGACTCGGCCAATTGACGAATGACAGATGGATCGTTCGACTAAATTTAAAAAATTTTTTGAAATATAAAGAAAAAATTTTAATCCTTGGATCCAACAGAAGTTAGAGAAACAAAATAAAAAATAAAAATCACACTCGAAGTCTATTTCGTTCAGCCTCAATATCCGCTCGCGGCAAAGCAAAATCTGTGGTGAGTTCAGATTGAGGAATTATGATATCATTCAAATGGCACAAACGAGAATGGACTTGAGCTACATATTGCTCCAATTGGGTAATAGTTCTGTTAAAAAATTAATTTGTAAAATTCAAAAAAAAAAATAAACCTTGGAATGTTTTGAACGATAGGATCATCATCCTCTTGAGTAGAAGTGTGCTGATCGGAATTAGGCGCAGGAAACATCCTTTATTGCTAAAAAATAAAACATTTAAATTACGTAAATCAAAAGAATTTAAAATAGAAAAATAAAAAAGAATGTTTAGAAAAAATAATTTGATATTTCTCATTTATTTTGGAATAAATGGAAAGAACAAAGAAAGTACAAAAAATAAATAACAATGTTTGTTAAGGATTTTAAGATTTGTGAAAGATTTTAGAAAAAAAAATATTTTTTAAATAAAACCCCCAAGAGAAAAAAATACGAAAAACTAAAAAATTCAAGCTTTATTTAACCGCATTATTTTCACTTTAAATTTCTACAAATTGTCTTTTATTCATTTTATCAAATAATAAAAAAACGTTCGATTTATCTACACTTTAAAAAACTTTTTAATTTTGTTTTTCTCTTTTAGTTATAAATTTTTAAAATGAATGATAACGACAAGAATCGTCCTCGTCCTGTTCTCAAGGAAGGTGAATGGGCTTGTGTTGATGCAAAATGTGCTTTTATTAATGGAGAGAAGAGAAATACTTGTCAAAAATGTGGAAAAGGTATTGATAGATTAAATATATTTTTTAGGAAATTTTGTAATTTTTTTTAGCTAAACCACGTGCCAAACAACGAGTAGGAAAGGAGATTGGCAAGGAAGCAGCGGAAAAATCAAAGGGGCTTTTTGCGGCTGAAGATTGGGTTTGCTCAAAGTTTGTATTTTATCATTTGTCTCAATCATTTTTTATGATTGATTTTTATTTTCAATTTAACCCTGAAATTTCATAAATAAATTCTTTGATTTTTATTATGTTCTTGTGAATTTTCAGATGTGGAAATGTTAATTGGGCACGTCGACATATGTGTAATATTTGCAATGCTCCCAAGTTGGCAGATCTTGAAGTTCGGACAGGTTATGGTGGTGGTTATATGGACCGAGAGGATGTGAGTAGTTGAATGAACATCTTTTTAAATTAATTATGAGTTTGTTTTTGTTTAAAAAAATATTTTTTGAAATGTTAAATTCAAAATTGTTTAAGGTAGAATATATTGAACGTGACGATGCCGATGAAGAATTTGATGAGTTTGGACGTAAAAAGCGCCGAAGTAAAAAATATGCTTCTTCATCAAATGCTTTGGTTAATTTTTGTGTGTTTTCTTTTGATATTTACTTTTTAGAATGATGATGAATCACAAAAATCATTTGAGGCTGAAATTGTTTCTTCTGAAGTTGTAAAGGAGGAAAAAGTTGAAAAATTTGAAGAGAAGAAGGAACAGGAAGAAGAGGAAGCGGTTAATTTTCAGCTTAAATCCTTTAAAATTAATATTTTTTAGATTGATGATGAGGAAGACGAAGATGATGAGGGCGGGGATTTGGATAAATATGATTTGACAGCAGATATGGAATTGACTACTTTCAAAGACAATTTGGAAATTCTGAGAAAGAAAATGGTTATAGAAAGTCGAAGAGATTCAATGAAAAAAACAAATGAACAAACTGCTAGAGATTCTGATTCTGTTGATAGCTCAGAGTTGGTTTTTTATTTAAATCAGATTTCATTTTAATTTAGAGGTCCTTCTCTAATTTTTTCTCGTTAAGTTGTTCTTGTTCGTGTAGTGGTGGCGATTGTTCTTGTATAGATAGTGAGGAAGATGAGAGAAAAGATGAATTAGAGGCAAAACGAATCAAATTGGAATCTGAAAGAATAATTAGGTAAAAATAAAAGTTTTATTTTTAATTAATTTTAATTTTAGAGAACAGCGTTTAGAAAAGGAAAGAACAACAGAGAACGATTTTCGACGCCACCCTAAAAGTCGTGATCGTGAAAGGCATCGAGGGGAGCATCGATCTCGTAACCACTATCACCGAAATAAAAAATATTGATTGATGGCTCAATAATATTAATAAAATATTTTGGTTTGAATGGATAATCAATTTTTCCATTTTAATATTTTATAAAAGTTGAATTGATATTTTTATTGACGATTTTGTCGTACTATCATTCAAATACATTATATTTTTTAGAAAATTTTTAATTTAACTGTTTAAGTTTATCACTAGTAATGGATGCTGATCTAAATTTTAAAGGTAGTTAATACTTTTAACTTTTAATTTATAAATTTTAGATTTTTCAAATTCAACGGATCCTTCGAATTCTTCCGTATGTTTTTAAATCTCTTGATTCATTTCAATTTGTTTAGCAATCAATGTCTGGAATGCTACTTGATGGTTCTTCTGTCCAAAAGGACAGCTCTTCTGAAAGTGGGGGTTCTAAATCTCATTTCCTTTCAATTTCTTATTATCAACGCTTTTTTGATGTTGATGAGGAAACGGTTTGTGGAATTTATTTAACTAGATTAATTTGCTTGTGTGAGAGTTCTTGAGACATAATTTTATTTAATACGTAAAATATATATTTTAGGTCTTTGCTCGCATTTTAAACAGTTGTATTCCTCGACGTACTGGAAATTTTATTGCTGATTTTGTTCAACCACTTCCAGATTTATGGGGACCTTTTTGGATTTCTGTGACGTTAGTCTTCTCAATTGCAATTGTTGGGAACTTTGCAAATTTTTTACAAGTTTATGGAAATGGTGAAGAAGAATTTCAAAGCGATTTTAGTTTTGGTATTTCTTTTATAAAAATTTAACAGGCAAAGAAAAGGTGTATCAATCAGGGGAACCATTTTTTGGATACGCCCTTGTAAACATAATAATTTATAATAATTTTAAGTGACTGGAGCAACATCTCTTATATTTGGATATGTTCTTCTCCTTCCATTTGCTATTTACACATATCTTTGGTATCATAGAGCTGCAGGACTTCAATATTCATTTTTTGATATTCTTTGTGCTTATGGTTATTCTCTTAGGTTTTTAATTTTAATTAAATTAATTTTTAATAAATAATTTTTTTTAGTTTGTTTGTACCTGTTTCGGTAAATTTTTAAAATATTTTTGCATTTATTTAAATTTATTTTTAAAGATTCTTTGCCCATTAATTCCATTCAATTGGGTAAGATGGACTCTTTTAATTTCTGCTGCTGTCTTTAGTGGCTCTGTTTTAATAATTGCAATTTGGGCGATGGTCAAAGATGATCCTAATCGATTTGTAAAATTTTTAAAAAAAATTTATATTTTAAATTAATTTTTAATTTAAGAATGCTTTTGGTCTTTGTTTTCTTGTTTTTGCTGCTCATGCACTTTTGGCAATTTGTTTGAAGGTAAATATTAAAAAAAGAATATAATTAAATTTAAAAATTTAATTTTTTTAAAAGGAATTCTTTTTTGATTCTGCTAATTTTCCTTCGTCTGACGTTGAACCTGTTATCAAACATGTTACTGAAATTCTTCATTCTACCACTCCACAGACACATAAAAACAGTACAGATTAAAAAATGTAATTTAAATACTTTTAAATAAATAAATATTGTTTATAATTTTATTTTTTTATTTAAAAGTTTTCTTTCTTAAAAGTAAAATTTAAGAAAAAATAAATGTTTAGTTTTCTACATATATCCGTCCACATTTTCTGTTCTGACTATACTTTCCTATATTTTTTAGATTTGAATAATTTAGTATAAATTACTCGGACTGTGATCGAGCAAAATTTTAGTTAAATTTTCTGTAACTTTTATGAGAGAAATAAATAAGGAAAGTAAATGAAAATGTAAAAGAAATAAAATAAAAGTATAAATAATTTAATTTTTGATAAAATTATTTCTAAACAAATCTTTAAATATTAAATCAAAATTTTAGTCCTTATTTGAAATCAAATCTTTTATATTGCAAAAATATATTTTTATTTTAGCTGGTTTAGTTTTTCTTTTGTTTTTCTTAAAATTTTTTTCTCAATTTCATCAAATGTTTTCTTGTAATTCTTTTGTTTTTTTTTTCATTTTTCAAAGCATTGTGTGAACACATGCATTTTTAAATGAGTTTTGAAAAAATTGGGGGGGGGGGGGGGGGGGGACGGGGTTTCTTTAAACTATACAAGGCTATTCTGACCTTTTTTAATTATTTTTTATTGTCTTGGTGTTTGGTTGTTCCGTTTGTTTAAATAAATTAATTATCCTTTTATTGTCTAGATTTTACATTATTTAAATTAAAGTATTTATTTTGTTTTCTTAATAATTTACTTTATTTTTAAAAAATAAACTTTATTTTTTAAACCAAGTTTTGAAAAAATAAATTCCCCTTAAGAATTATTAAATATAAACTATGCAACTTTAATTTCCTTCGCAATTATTATACGGATATTCCTTTCCCCTTTTCTTATATCAAATTTCCTTTTTTTCTAACCTTCCGGTAAGAAAAACAACAAACAAAAATTTTGTTGCTTTTTCCCCACTCAATAATATTTTTAATAAATTTATTTCTTGAGAATTTTTAATGGACAAAGGAATTTGAGGCGCGCGGCAATATTGTTGTAGTAGTGTAGATGAAGCCTTTATTTTATATTGACAGTCATCAAAAAAGAACACTTTATATATTCTTTTATTATTATTTTGCCAATTTTTATTATAAAGTGGGGGGGGGGGGAAGTCATCTTTCCTCTCTTCCTTTGTTTTTCTTGAGCTAATAATTTACTGGACGGGGTTATTGACATCTCTTTAACATAATACAAAACACTTCCCCCATAATCTATTCATTAGTAAAAAAGGCTTTAAAGGTTTTCTCTTTTTTTTAATATAAGATAAATACGTCATCTTTACTTTTTTTTTAAATTTCTTTATTTTTTTAAAGAAATTCACTTCTTTTTTTGCATTTTATTTTAAAATCTTCCCACACTTTGATATTAAATTTCATTTAAAAGAATTATTTTTTTGTACTTTAACCTGGTCATTTTTTGTATATTTTGAATTTAAAAAAGATAAATTAACTTTGTTTTGTTTTTATTTTAACATAATATTTTCTTATAATAATTTTTAATTTCAAAAATATTATCCAATAAAATTATTTTAATTTTTAATCATCATTCAAATATCCATTTTGTCATTCCAATTCTCAACACGTAAAGAATGAATAAGGAAAAACCTCTTAAAAATGGGTAGTTGTCTGTGTAAGGATGTAAAGTCATCTAAAAAGAAATAAAAAAGGAAGAAAGTTTTTAACATGCAAAGTTTTGGCGCTAAAACTTTATTTTTAATGTAAATAAATATTTATTTCCTCCCTTAAAAGACAATTTTTTTTCTCACCTTCAATACCAAATTGGTGAATTCTTTTATGGCAATAAAAATAAACTTTTAATTCATTTACACATTTTTTCCCAAATTAAACTTCCAATTTCCTTAATTTTTAAAATAAATTATTGAATATATTTTGAATTTAATTATTTTTACATTTATTTTAAAAATTCAAAAATTAAGCGTTTATTATCAAAACGAAAAATTTTTTAATTAAATCAAATAGATAAATTTAATAATATCAGGAGCTGTTTTGATAATTTAAGGAAGAGTTCATTTATTAGTTTAATTTTTAGGAGTTCATTTTTAGGAGTTCATGTTCATTTGGCAATTTTTTGTCATTAATTTTTAACTAAACACACCTGACTTACTTTAAACTTTTTCTTAATTAAAAAATATATTTACATTTTTAAATCATTTTTTCCTTTTTAATAAGGAAATATAGTATATGTACATTTATTTATTTTTTAAAATTAATTTTATAAAATTTTAAATGTTTAATATTACCATAATTTTAAATTATTTTTACTTTTTTTTGCAAATTTATTTTTATATCATATCCCCAACAAGAAGTTAATGTTTTATATTTATTTTTAATATCATGAGAATAAAATCAAAAACAGGAGATATAAAAAATTATTTACGTTGAAATTCCCAACTACAAGCCGGGAGTAGAAATTAAATTTTGTTCGTATGCATGATTGTCATATTTTCCCGTACTCATAGCACCGCTCGTTCAGAAAAGGTAATTAGTTGTTCACTAATGTTTTAGTTTTTCAAACTTAAATCAAACCTAAAAAATTAAGGCACGGGCTTCTATTTTCCTTATTTTTTCCCTCGTAACTCATAGTTACTAATACGAATTTTGGTTTTGCTATAGATTCTAAACAGCTATTCAAAATTGGTCCAAGTGGTCGAGCCATTTAATTTAATATACAGCACCATTTGGTTATTGTAACGAAAACTCTTTTTTAATTTAAAATAAGTTTCAATTAAAATAGCGTGATTTTCTATTCTTTTTTTTTAATTTTTCAAAATTTGGATTCAAACATATTAATTTTTCATAGCCCCGACATTTTCTTTTTATTTTATTCCAACCTTTTCTTATTATAAGACAAACCGTAAAGGTAAACCTTTTGGGACAAAAATTGTTCACACGCGCGCATTCGAGTGTGTATTTTTGTGTGTTTGATACGAAGAATGAACATTATTTAATATAGGTATGTACATACTCCCCCCTTTATTTTATTCCAGGTGTGATATGGCACGCAAAAATTCTAAAGAATTGTGTCAGATTTTTATTAATTTTTCTATCCAAATGTCTTTCCATAGAAATTTTTTTCTTAATTTTATTTAAATACTATCGAAAAAAATTCTCCGACTTTCAAAATCTCTCCGAAAAAATATTTTAAATTTTAAATTAATTAATCTTAATTTATAGAATTAATTTATATTTAAAATACAATTCACATCTAACTAATTCTTACTCTAAAATTAAATATTTATATCCAAAAAGGCCATATATTTTTTATTTAAAAAATTAAGCATAAAGATCGGTTAATTTTAAAGCAAAATCGGTCAATTTTTGAAAGAATTATTGCAAATAATATTTATTTTCCAGACAAATTCTTTAAGTCTCATATGTTGCAATATTTATTCAAAAAAATAATAATTAAAAATTATTATTAATATACTAACTATAAATATTTTATTAAAATAAAATCATTTTTTAATAAATTAAAAATTAAAAACTTTTTTTTTATCTTTTAATATTCAGTATTTGCACGAAATTAAAAAATTGAGGGAATTCTTTTAATTTTCTTTATTAGAAATCAAAGAGAAATTTGTATATTTTATGTGAATTTAGTTTATAAATAAATTAATATTTAAAAAAATTTTAAATAAAATTTGTTTTTCTTTCTTGAAAAAAAAATTAATTTTAATATAAAAAATTTTAATCAGAATTTTTTAAATTTAAAACATTTTTTGCAAAATATTTTTGATATTTGATTATTTATTAAACAAAAAATAAATAAAAATAATAGAGACAATGAAAAAAATATTTTTTTTTATTTTTGGATAAAGCAATGATGTAAAGAATATTTAATTCAAAAAATATATTAATAATAATTTTTATCCAAGAAAAACACAAAAATAAAAATTAAAAATGACAAATATTTTTTTATTTACAAAAATTATAATATTTAATTTTTTTGAGGTTTGTTGGAAAAATTTATTTTTAATTTAATATTCTCGAATATTTCTTTTATTAATGTTAATTAATTTAAAATAATATTTTTTTAAATTAATTTTTGGATCATTTCATAATTGTTTAAAAATATTTTAATTACGTAATTAATTAAATATTTAAATAATTTTCATTAAACTTTTCTATTTTTAATTAAGCATTTATTTATTCTTGGTATTTTAATAAATGAGCAGCATTATTTTCCTTGAAAAGAAATATTTATTTTAAACAAACAAAATATATTTATTTTCTTTAAAGTTTTAAATTAAAAGAAAATAAATTTATTTTTATTTGGCAACATTCTTCTTTTCAAACTATTTTTGTACCAAAAATAAATTAAATATATATACCTACATAACTATCATCTTTTCAATTGAAATTAAAGAAAATTTTTGTAAAATAAAAGGCCCTAGAGTATTTTTAAATAATTTAATTTATTTTTAAATTTATAGAAAAAAGAAAGTTTTTTTAATCATTTGAATGGGTTATTTTTTATATTTAAAATCAAACACCTCGAAATATTAATATAATTCGAATTCGAATAATTTATATAGGTATATATTTTTTGTATTTTAATTATTTTTTCAATATAAAATTTTTAAAAACTTTTTAAATTTAAATAATAATTTTATTTTATTTATTTTTCTTTCTTTTTCTCTTTTATTTTTCCTTTTCTTGTCAAATATTTTTGTTAATTAAATTTGTATATATTTTGTGCCATATCACACACACACCTCTACTTATTTCATTTAAAAGTAAGATTTTCTAAATTAAATCAAATATTTATTTATTTTTTTTTACTTTTTTTAATATTCTTTACATTTAAAAAATAATTTTTGTTTTTATTAAATAATTAATATTTATTTAAATTTATTTTTTGTTTTTGATAAATGCAATTTATTGATACCTAATTATTAAAACTTTGGGAGCAGGTTACTAACTTATCGCAGAGCTATAACTTCGTTCAGAATGTCGAATCCGAGACGCCCTAGTATGGTTCGATGTGCCTCGACGAGCTGAATCGAAACATACCAGGTCCTCCCGGATTCGACTAATTTTTTCGAAGTTATAGCTCTGCGATACGTTGTCTCGCGGTATTTTGGGAGTGTACTCTATCAAGGCTTTCTTAGAGAATTCATTGGTAACTTCTACTACAACATTCCTAGTGTCCTAAATATTTTTTTTGAATTTTTTAAAATTTTATTTTGTTTCTAGAGCTAATTATTTTTGGTTCTAAAAAACATTTTTAGATTTAAATTTTATTTAAAAATAAAATGCACGGTACAGAATCTGGGCATTTCTCTTCTTTTATTTCTTCACCAATTGAGGATTACAAAAATATAACTAACGACAATGATTCAGAAGATGATTGTTCTGTTGATATTTTTCCAGATAGAAGATGGTTAGAATTACAAAATAATTAAAAAAAATTTATTTTTAATTTTAAAAAGGTATTTGGTTGCAGTTGCGGGGACTTCTTTAAGGTAATTTTAAATTTTTAAAAAATATTTCTTTTAAAATATTTAATTAGTTTAATTTCTCTTGTTTGTAATGTATTAATTGCCTGTGTTTTATTACGACCTCGAAATTCTCATTTTTTCTTCCTTGGGCTTCTAGCTGTTTCTGATGCTTTTTTATCAACTTGTTATGGACCTGTTATTGGTTAATAATTTAAAAAAATAATAATAAATAAACATTTTAGCTATGGATATAATTAAAAATCGGGTACAATTACTTTGGCTAACGCGACTTTGGTGGAGTTATGTTGGCCCCCTTTTGGCTCTTTGCCATGTTTCTATGACATTTTCTTGTTTTAGTAAATTAATTTTTGAATATTAAATTATTTTTTTATTTTTCAGTGATTATTCTTGGAACAATTGAACGTTTTTTAATTACATTAAAATCATCCTTGCTTACTTGTTTTCGTACCAATCGTGGTCCATTGGCTTTAGGAATGTTCTTATTAGCTTTATTACTTAGAGGAACGGCTATATTTGAAGTTGAAATTGTTGCTAACGGAAATTGTACGGGTTTAAGTGAATTCGAACCAAGCCTTACAACGTTAACTAAAAGCTGGTTTTATGGAACAGTTTTTAGATTTTATGTCAGAACTATTGCTACAGTTTTTGTGCCTTTCTTTTTACTTGCTTATTTAAATGCTAGAATTGGTTAATAATTAATTATTTTTATTAAAAATTAATTTTTAAAAGAAAAGAATTGGGAAGGAGGAAAATTCTTATTAAAAAAATTTTTTTTCATAACTATATAGGCCTAAATTCTTTACTCCTTCCCAACAAATAAGAATATTAATAAATATATAAAATAAATTTTAGTTTTAATATTGCGGCGTCAAAAACGTTCGGCTGCAATGTTTCGATTTGGAAGTGCTTATGACCATAAAGTTTTTTAATTAATTTAAATAAATAATCAAATATATTTTAATTTATCTTTAATTATAGTCCATTCCCTCCTTAAAATTCTTTTAAATTTTTTAAAGCTTCGTGTTCGTTCAGCAACTCGTTTATTACTCTTAATTGTTTGTTCTTATTTATTGGCAAATTTTCCAAATGTGGCTATTACTGCTTGGGAATATTTAGATTTAGATTCAACACAAAGTGAAAACTTTTATAGTGTTAGTCTCTTTAAAATTTAAATTTTTCTTAATATTTTTAATTTTAGATATATGAAACATTAACAGATGTAAGTTAATTTAAATTGAATAAAGAATCCCTTTTTTCTCGAATATTAGCCTTCGGAAATTCTTGTTTAAGTTTCTCTTTTAGAGGATATAATTAATAGAGAGAATAATAAGTACTCGAGAAAATATGGAAAATAAAATTGAATTAAATAAATTTTCTAATTTAAAAGATAATATCAATGTTATATGTTCTAAGTTGTGCCTCTCGTCTTTTAATTTATTTAAGTTGTAATGAAGAAATTAGAAGTGCATTTTATGATTTTCTTTGTGCAAATTGGATATGTAAAAGGAGAAGAGAAAATGGAATTGAATATGAATTTGATGAAAAAATTGCTTTACAAAGACACGGATCTACACAATATACTCCTGTAAGGCAATGCTCTTACAGGTATTTTTTTTAAATAATGATGAAATTTTTAATAAGTAATTTTTCTAAAATAATTTGCTTTTTTAGAAAGAGTATTTTTCATAAAAAAATAAAAAAATAATTTTTAAGGTCATTCAGAGGAGATTGGTCTATTGGTGATTTTCCTCCTATAGGTAAAAAAAATTGGCATAGAAAATGAATTTTTTATTTAAAATTTTGTAGGGACAGATTTTGACCGAGTAGTTGTTGCTATGGCACTTTCAAGAGTTTCGTCATTAACAAGTAATAAACAAAAAAATGAGGGATTAAAAATTACTAATGGAGAAGTTAATGAAAAAGAGCAAAGCCAATTAGTTAATACAAATGGATTAAAACGGCATCATTCGTCGAGAAGACGAATTTCTTCAAGAAGAGGAAGAAGAAATGAGTAAATATATTTCCTCTAAAAATTTTTTTCCCAAATTTAATTTTAGAAATGGTTTTGCTAATTCTCCTAACAATGATCGAGATAATCAAAACAGTGAACATCATAAAATTGATCTCAATCAAGAAGAAAAGCCGTCCTAATAATAAAAAATGATCTCAAATAATCCATCCATTAATATAAAATTTATTAATCTTGTCTATGTACATATATAAAAATATTTATTGTAATTTTTGATAGGAAATCAAAAGTATACAAACAAATTTCTCGATTTTATTTTATTTACATGCTATTTACACATTTGAATACATATAATCAACAGAAAAATATTTGTGAATATTAGACACGATTTAACAAATGAATTTTCAGGACAATAATGTGTAGAAGATTATTATAGTACACATACATACAGATAAATTAAGTCAGGTGAAAGAACATTGTGGGAATACAATAATTTTATTTATAGACGATTATGAGAATTTCTATTTCTCTTCCTATTGTTTGTTCGTTTCTTTATCATCTTCCTCATCGGTGTTGACACCTCCAGTACCGTGCTCGAAGAGACAACGAGTTCGATCGAAGCGCTCAGATTGTGAAGGAAATTGCATTTTGAGAGCCAGTTGCTGCGTCGAGACGAAATTGTCACCATCGTTGGTCTTAGTCATCTGCTCACAAGGTTGCAGTGCCACAGATTCATGCTGTATATCCTCATTAGCGTTTTTGCCGTTCTCATCCAAGATGGAAACCTCCTCAGCTGTTGTTGTTTCCTTCACTCCGTGTTGACCAACAATGCGCATTTGATCAAGCGCCAATTGGACAATGTGTTCCTATAGAAAAATTACATATAGATAATTTTTTTCTACTTAATTATCACCTTTCTGCGCTCCTCAATTCCCTCTGCGTCCTTCACATCATTCCGGTTGTTGCAACCAATTTTAGGAATTACATCGTCTTGCTTCAATTCAGAAGTTTCATCTTCTTCCAATGGATCTTCATTCTCTGGTGCCTCGAAGATAGTGTTCAGGTCTGAGAAGGTGACACGTCGTCGCAATGAACCCGAGCTTATGACGGCACTTTCAGGAATGTAGTCTTCTTGATGTTGCTCTTTGTTCTCTGAAGGGAAGTTCAACAACAGCGCCTTTTCAAGAGGAAACGCGATTTTCTCCTCATTCTCATCATGATCGACATCTTCCTTCTTTTCAACAGAATGTGGTTGCATCTCTTGTTCTTTGGCGGTGTTTATGCTCTGATCATTGCTCCCAAACATTTGGCCCAGATGGAGAGATTCATCATCCGAACGACATGCTTAAAAAATAAAATAATTAAACATTATTTAACAACACATGCCAACTCACCAAAGGAATCATCAGGATCAAGAAGTTGGAATATTCCGTTGAACTTAGGCGCACGCACAGAAGGAACTGGAGCAATATCGCCAACATTTCCATCGAAGGTGACAGTCTGAAATATAATTCATTAAACATGCTCAAAAGGGAATGCTTGCCTGCTCCTCTAACACAGAATCTGTCTGAGTGCCATTTTCGAAGAGAATTGGAGTAGTGGGTCGATAATGAACAGTCGGTGAATAATGATGAGATTCGTAAGAAGCCTCAGCTTTACCACGTACCGCTTCAAGTATCGCGCATCCCCAATCTAAGACTAGGGCCTCTGGAAGACGGATTTTTACCGAGCCAAAGTTCCATTTCACACGAACATTGCAGATTCTTTGCGTTGTTGTTGATAGAAACACCTGCTAATTAAAAGAAAATATTACAACTTTTAATTGTATTTAAATACTTTTCTTATTTTTACCTTCTGAGTTTTGCATTTGAATTCCGCTCTTGCAGCCTTGCTCAGATTAACGGTGAAGCCCTCGTGCTTCCAATTGTCCGTATAGATGACCATATGACCTTGCTTGCTCAGAACACATGTATGTATGCCATAGGACACCGCTCGTTCAATTCCAAACAGCCCACGACGCTTGATGGTCACATCCAACGAGGCAAACCGGAATGAGCCACGATCCAAGACACGTTTCCACACATCCAACGGAGGCAAAACAGCTTTCTGTATAAAAATTATATCAATTGAATTATTGTTTAAAAAAGTATAATAAACTTACTTTGGTGAACTCATGTTGAACCCGAATGACGAACAATTCAACTTCGCACTGACGAGTTTCAGAAGCCTGGGCAGGACTACCGCTTATCATCTTTAGGGGCGAAGGAACCAGTTGACGTTCGCAGGTATATTGCTGATCCAACAAGGATACTCCAGCCATGTGAGAATGCAGCTCGCCAGCCATGTGAGATTGCTGTGCCAATGATGTCGTTTTAGGCGCTAATGACAAATTGAAGTTTAGATTTGTTCTTTCATCTCTTGCTCTTATATGAAGTTTTTTTTGGGTAAATGGACTTTGATAATACTTCGATGAAAGCATTATAAAAGCCTCAATATCTTTGTTCGTTACCACCCATAACTACTCCACTGCTTCTCTTCCTCCTTTCTCGACCACTAGTCGTCCAACGTCAACTACCATGCACACTGCGTCAATAAGTTCGGAGGCCAGCGTCAAAACGTACCAAGGGTCAGTTTTCATTTCACAATTTTATGAATCCGTTTTAATCTTTCTCCTTTTTTAGCGCCACACAGGAGTTCATTGTAGTTTCCGACATCGCTTCTGGAGGATACGGCGCTGTCCACAAAGTCCGAGGCTCTAAAGGAGGCGTCTTTGCTCTAAAACTTGAGAAGCGTGCTCCAAAGCGTGACCACTACAAGCTGCAGATGGAGGTTCGGGTGTTGCAGGCAGCTGCCTTGGCAAAGCCGGAAGAGAGACAACACTTGCCCACGCTCATTGACCATAGTGAACCGCACAGTACAACCAAGAGTATGTTCATTGTCATGACGCTTTTGGGCAAGTCGCTGGGAGACATAAAGCGAGCGTACAGAAAGAGGATCTTCAGGTTTGTTATCTGAAGAGGTCTATTTTTTAATTTCTTCTCTTTAATATTTTTAGCCCTAACACTGCCTACCATTGTGCCATCCAGTCGATTGACGCGATCAAAGAAATGCACGATCTCGGCTTTCTTCACCGCGACATCAAACCGGCAAATTTCGTGATCGGAGCGCCAGGGACCAAAGACGCAAACACTGTTTACGTTGTCGATTACGGGATTGCACGGAAGATTCTTGACGCGAAGGGGAGTATGCTGACACCACGAAGAAAGGTAAAGAAAGATAAAATCCTAACGAAGTTGGTTATCTTTTTCAAAATTTTCAGATAAAGTTCAAAGGCACCGTCCGCTTCGCCCCAGTGACCATGCACAAGATGGAGGAACTTGGACGTAAAGACGACTGCGAGAGTTGGATCTATATGGTTGTGGACATGGTCAATGAGAATCGACTTCCGTGGCACATGGTTACCGACGTGGACGAAGTTGAGCGAATGAAGAGGAAGGCGATTGCCGAACCACGAACATTGTTCAAGAGCTCCGAGGTGAGTTGTTGGGAAACAGGGGTGTGCCATTTCGCCTTTTGGCTTTCGTTTTTCGCTTTTTAAAATCTGTTTCGGCACACCCCTAATAGACTTCTTTTAAGGCAATCTAATCTCTTTTTTAATTTTTACAGGAGAGCGAGTTCTGTGAGGTGATCACATACTTGAATGGACTGCACTATGTGGACAAGATAGACTACCACTGGATTCGCGAAATGGTCAAGCGTGTGGCGAAACGACGGAATTGCAATTTGAGGGAGCCTTATGATTGGCAAAAGAAGAACACTCATCATAGCAGAACGATGTCAAGATAAAAATCTTGTGTGTATTGGATCTTCTTTTCTCTGATTTTTTGTACGTATTAATTGTATGTATTTGCCCATCCATAAATATAATATTTGTTTTTGATTAAGACCAATATTTTTTTCCTTTTTCTAATTTTAAAAATTGGGAGCAGACGATCAGATCTAATTTACACTACTCAATCCCTCGATATCAAACCCAAATCCCTCGTTATTACCTATAATTTAAGTTTTAAGCGACCTGCTCGCTTCGCTCGCGGCGACCGTAGCGAAGCGGCGGCCGTCGTTCCGCTCGACATGCCCGGCTTCCTCCGCACAAAAACTTGTTTCCGCGAGGGAATATCATTCGAAAGAGCTTGGTGAGCAGAGTCGAATGACACCAAAATCAGCTCGATCGGATGATTCTGAACAAAGTTATAGTTGCTCACGCCGAAAACATGCTGCGCCGGAAAAATGGCGTCCAAACGTGCGCGTCCAATCGTGCGCGCCCAAACGTGGTGATCCGCCTTACACTTCTTTTTTCAATTTTGAAAAATTTTAGGCACAACTCGGTTCTATCCTCAAAAATGATGTCTCAAGCAGATTCTGGTCGGATAATACATCTTGAAAAGAGGAGAGAACGTGCAAAAGAAGATATTGAAAAGCAAAGATTAAAATTGGAAGAAGAAAAGAAATCTTGTTTGTTTTTACTAAAAGATTTTAATTATTTTTTTAAATTTTTAGTTGCTGCTGGTATTTCTAGTAAATTTACAACAAATGTTGATCAGATTGAAGAAAAGTTTAAAGCTAGTACAGTTGGTCTAGTAACTTTAGATGAAGTTAAAGAGAGACAAAATGAGATTTATTCTCTAAATAAAGAGTTTGGATTTTAATAAATTTAATTATTTTTTTTGTTACTTTTTAGATTATCAAAAGTAACGGACGATAATGAACAAAAACCGAGATTTGATAGAGTAGTTCAGGTGAACTTTTTAATTAAATTGGTTACTTTTGTCATAGTCTGAGGCTTTTGTTAAAGTAAATTTTGAGAATAAAATTCCAGTTCTGGAAAATGTTATCTGCCAAAATTGATATTTTCTTAAAAAATCTGACTTTAATGTCAAAAGAAAATTTACATAGTGGTCACTTGATAATTCGAATTTTTTAAAGTTCTTTTTAACTTCAGAAGAGAGTTTTATCCTTCAAAAATTTTGATGATGAGGAGGAGGATGAAAAACCAGTTGTTATAGTAAAGAAACGTTTAGGAATGGACCCAACTGTTGATACTTCATTTTTGCCTGACAGAGAACGTGATGAACAAATTCAAAGGTTTTAATATTTTAAAAGAATTTTATTAAATTTTTTTAGAGAACGTGAAAAAATCGGAGCTGAATGGCTAGAAATGCAAGAAAAAGAGAAAAACGAAGAAATTATGGTTGCATTTTGTTATTGGGATGGATCTTCACATCGCAGGGATTTTAAAACAAAGAAGGGAACGACAATTGCACAATTTTTACAAAAAGCTTTGGATGTTTAAAATTTTAAAATTTAATTAAAAATTATTTTATTTTTTAGTTATTTCGGAAAGAATTTTTGGAATTGAAATTGGCAACTGTAGAGAATTTGGTAAAAAAATAAAAATAATTTTTAAAATAAATGTTTTTTGTGCAGATGTTCATTAAAGAAGATTTAATTATTCCTCATTTCTATACGTAAATAAATAATTTTTTTAAATTTTTTTAAAAATTTAATTTAGATTTCAAGATTTTATCAAAACTCGGCAAATGGGAAAAACTGGTCCTTTGTGGCAATTTGAGTCTGTTGGTGAAATACGAGTTAGACAAGATGCTGCTCTTGATGTTGGAGAAAGCCATCCAGTTAAGGTATATTTTTTTAATTGGAAGAAATTTTTGAATAAAAATTTAGGTTGTTCTACGTTCGTGGTATGAAAAAAATAAACATATTTACCCGGCATCTCGTTGGGAGCCTTTTGTGCCAGGAAAAGTTTATAAAAGAACAATCGATGATTTAAATACAATTTGAGTATATCGACATAGTATTTTTATCAATTTATTCTATATTTTGTAAAATTGTTTTTAAAGAAATTTTTTTTGATAATAAAATTATCTTTTTAAGTATTAATTGTTTTTTCACATGTTCTGCACGGGATGGTTTATTTTGAAAAATGACATTTCGTCCAAATTTGTTTTTATTTTTTATCCACGTTTATATGTAAATAAATTGTTTTTTTACATATTTTATTTTTATTTAAATCATTGTAGACAATGAAAATTATTTGTAATTAATTTATATTAAAATTTAATTTTTTTAGCAATTTATAAATGACGGTCAATTCATTTTTAACTTTAATTAATTTATTTTTTCTTTTTTCGGCATTTTTTATTTCGACAGAAGTAAAATTTTAAATAATTTTAAATAAAAATTTATATTTAGGCGAATTTTGAAGATACTCGTTGTCGATGTACATGCCCAAGTACTGAATATTTTGCTCCAAAAGGCACAAATCATTCACAACATTATAGACGTTATTATACAAAAACTAATTTGGAGTCATCAAACTGGTTATTTTTTAACTTAAAAGATTAATAAAATTATAATTTTTTTAAAGTAATGCACAAACTGTCGTTAAAAAAGATGTTCAGTCAATTGTGGAGGAGGCTAGACTTGACGCTTTTTTGGCAAATTGTAATTGTCGATTTGAATCGAGGAATTCACTTTTATTGAAGGTTTAGTTTTTGTAATTTTTTTGAGGGAAATTTTTTGATTATTAGGAGATTGATTGGAGATTTTTAATAAATTTAATTTTTAAGGTTGTTGTTATGTTCGTCATTGCCGTTATTTTTATTCTTGGCTCTTACATGCTCTATTTGGGTGTTGTTGAGCCAATGGTTTTTAGGCAAAGGCAACCAAATTCAACAGCTTTTATACCTTACAGTCGCCACACAGATGTTGATAGAGAGGACGTTGGTGATTTGAACACATTTTGGTTCCTTCAAGATTCGGATGAAGCCTCGGTGGTTGCATCCGATGTCATGGATGATCAATCCATTATTGTTAGGCACTTTCCGTTTCTTGTCTCTCTTTCTTTCCTTTTTTTATGGACCTAAATTTTCTTTTTGTAATTTTTAGTCTAAAAATATTTTTTTAAATAAGTAAGAGCTCTCTCCTTACATTTTCTTCCCTAAATAAGTTTTTGAATTAAAAATTTATTTGGATTTTCCCTAACCTTTTTATTTTAAGGACGACCATATTTTTTCGAGTACAACAGAAGGAATACCGTCATCAAATGAATTCTCAGCTATTTCTTTAGAAGATCGACAACAAACGCGTTCTCGCCATTCAGCTAATGCTACAACTGCTAATAGTTCAGTTAAAGCTTCATTGCATGACAAAGTTATTGAAAAGGTTTTTAATTTAAATACATTAAGGAATTTCTGAGTGAGTAAATGTCTTATATTAGATAGTTTATTAAATGATTTTCTTTAACACAAAAAATTATTTTAAAATATTCAGGTAACAGCCGAGCAAAATAAGTGGAAAGTAGATGTAGAAGAACAGCGCCGTAATGTATTAGGTCAACATAGTGTGTTGAATTAAATATGTATTAAATTTAATTATAAAAATTTAAAAATTTGTATATTAATTATTTAAATAAATTTATATTTTAAATTTAATTTTTGGGAAGAAAGGAAAAATTTCGAAAAGTAAGCACAGGCTTTAATTTATATAAAGAAAAGTATTCTCTCTCTAGTAATACAAATCCCGCAAATTATAAATCCTATTAAAGTTCTTGCTTTTCACAGTAAGATTATCTTTAGAGAAATTACCAATGTAAACTTGAGGTATGAATCTCTCTCAAAACAAGACTAGATTAAAACTAATTACTAATTTTACAATACACCAAACAAATATATTACAATAATTATACAACGTAATACATCAACATTAATACAGAGAATACCACAGAAGATCACAAATATCTATTATTATACTCCCCAATTATTCTTATGGTTCACCGCCTTCCCCTTTTGCTTCTTTTTGATCTCTTCCTCTTTGATTTCGAATGTCGCTTTCGTTTATGCTTCTTGCGACGACTCTTTTCCTTCTTCCTTGGCACAGTTAGAATCCCACCGTCATCTTCTTGAGTTCGTTCTGTAGTTCCAACACTCGAATCAGAGCTATCGGTACTACTTGTTGTTGTACTTGTTGCTGTATCTTTCTTTTTAGAAAGTCCAATCGGATGAAGAACGACAGCATTCGGCGATGCAGTTGAGGGATCCTGAAATTTCGAATTCATGAAAGTTAAAATTCTTTTGTCTACCTTTGCCAGTCCTATTGTGGGAGCCCACCCAACATTAGGAGGTGGATGCGAATCGGTAGACGTCCCTTTCGCTGGAGTGTTCAAATTTAGTAATCGAGGCAGCGAAGGTTCTTTAACTGGAACATTAGATGATGGTGGAGGAGGAAGCATATTAGCTGGTAAAGGCGGTGGTGGTACATATCTAAAATAAATGAAAATAACAAATTGTAATTTGAGTGGATCACAAACGCAGGAGGAGGTGTCGGTGGTGCCGAAGGCAAACTTTGCGGAGGAGGATACATTGGTGGAGGAACAGGCTGAATTGGTGGCGGCCCAACAGGCATCTGAAAAGAACCAAAGTATTTTAAACGAAAGAATACATCTACCGGTGGATGTGCTACGATCGGTGGCGGCCTTTGTAATTGCGGCGGACCAGCAAACACATTTCTTGGAGGGCCACTATGCATAGATCTACCAGTTTGTGGTGGCGGTCCTGTGCGAACGATATGTCCCTTTCTTTTATTCGAACCCCTGGTTATAGTGCAGAAGATAATGAAGAGCACAGCAACAAGAATGCCAGCAGTAATACTTAGAAAAATCCACGCATCTGCTTGACTCATCTGTAAAAGTGATTTGGAAAGTATAATTTAGAAAAAACTGAAATTGACTTACCACTGCCGAAGACGAAGACTACCGAGACCCAGTATGTGAAAACTATGTTTATATTGTAACTTTCTAAATCGAATAGACTTTTATAGCAAATTAATTACTTAGGAACTTTGTATCACTTTTTATTTGTTAAGATTTTAATTGTTAAGTAATCTTCCTTTTATTTTTAAGTGCCAACTTCCTTTTATTCATTTAATTTGTTTTTTTCCATATTTTTCTGTTTCCTCATTTTTCCCAATTTTCTCTTTGCCAAAAAATAAAAGTAATTGAGCCTGCTAAAAATATGTAAAATTCTATGAAGAATAAAAGGTAAAATTGTTTTTGGTTTAGAAAACGGGCCAACCGGTTATTTTTGTTCTTAGTTAAATATTTATTTATTCTTTTCTTTTTTCTCATTTTCACCGCTTTTACAAATTGTTTTACTGTAATTGGAGTAAATTTTGGAGGAAACAAGAAGAGAATCATTGCTCATATTTAAACTTTTCCATAAACTCTCGAAATTATTTTAAGTTAAGAATGAGTTTTTTTAGTTTAGTTACATAGTAGTAGTTTTATTTAATAATTATAAAATAATAAAATTAAAAAATATAGTATATTAAAGATTATCCGAGCCTTTTATAAAATGCATTCTAATAGTCTATTAAATTCTTCCCAATCATCATTAATTTTATACAAAAAACCTACTAATATTTCAAACAATTTACCATTAAAAACAAAAAATGGAAGGGGATATGTTGAAAGTTGGACATTTTTTTAATTTTTAATTAAAATATTTTAAAAAAATTTTCATGTTCCTCTTCTGCTGCTTTGATTGCCGCTCATGGAAGTTTTGCAGCAGCTGCAGCATTTGCTTCTTTGCCATGGCTTGCACAACATCAACAACAAATTTTGTCTGAAAATAGGTAAATTAATTAAAATAAAATTTTAAAATTAAATTTTGATTTTTTACATTACATTTTAACCTTTATTTTTTTAATTGTATTTACCATCAATTAAATATATATTTTCATTTTCCATATGTTATTTTTTTATTTTTTTTAATTTAAAAAAATATTTTTATTTCCTTTTCCCATTAATTCCAAATAATTTTTCTATTCAAATCCTTCCAATTCTTTTCTGCTCATTTCGTTTCAGGCAGGTGTGTGCCAATTCATTTTCTAAAATCAAGGTAGATTGCCGGCTCTGATAATTGGCACCAATGTGCGGGGTTAGGTACTTTTCTTTCTCTTTCCTTTTTTGCCAATTTCCGTTCAATTCTTCGATTTTTCTTTTTATTTTCGTTTTTATTTTAATTAATGATGGGTAAATTATTAATTTTATTTATTTATACGAACTAAAAAGTTGATGAAATTTATATATAAATTTCTTCAATTAAAAAAATATTGGAAATTATTTAATTAAAAATGATAAAGTAAATATGTATATTAATTGTTGACAGAAATGGACATGTATGAAATTTAAATTGAATTAATTTAAAATAAAAATATTTTGTTTAACTTATTTACAATAACATATACCCATCCATCCATTATCTCTAAAACGATTGGATTTTTTAGCTAAATTTTATTACTTTTTATTTAATATTTTTTATAATTACTTTTGACGTTTCATTTTTTCTAAAATCATTTAAAACTCTTCAATTTTTAATTAAATATTAAATTTAAATTATTTAATTTAAATAAATAAAAATTAATTCTTGTTGCCAATGGATCCTTTATTTTTAAAAAAGCTTTTGCCATGGATTTTAATGTTATCCATTTGGATTCTAAGGTAACGACTAAATGGATCTTTGCAAAATTGGATCCAGGGCAACGGATAAATTTGAGACTTGTAGAACCTTGGTGATATATATCTTCCGTTGCCGTGCCGATATTTAATAAATAAATGTGTGGATGTTACTAAGAGACTAACTGATATATTTTTGATGTCCAGGGAAACGAAAAATAAATGGGAGGAGATCGAGACGAATATATCTTTTTTATTTAAACATTTTATCCACAGATTTACGTTTTTTTTAAAAATTCCTTTTATTTAAAACAAAACACCTAATTAATTGTTCAGTCTTTCAAATTCCCTCTTTCAGTCATGATTTGATGAATTTAGGTATATCAGAGAGGATAACAAAATTTAAACTTTTATATATTTCTGTGTTTTTATGATGCTGAGGAGGATGTTGTTGCCAGGAGAACGAGGAGGGGCTAAAAAATTCAGAATTGGTTGGTCACCAGGACTCCGGCATTGGTCCTTTCTCCATGGTTTTTGGTTCAAGGTGTCGTCAACAACAACGGCTACTAGTATATATAAACACTTAACATTTTTTAATTCACAATTTTATTCATTCACTTTGGTTACCAGACTGAATTCATTCATGTCCAATTTAGTAGTTTCTATAATATTTGAATATTTATTTAGAAATTTTATTTTTATTTTACTAAAAAATTTAAAAAATATTTAATATTTTAATCAAACAATTTTTTAATTTTATTTTTAATTTTACATTTAGTAAAACAGTTTGCTAATTCTAATTATTTTTTCAGTTTATAATTTGATTATATTTTTATTATTACCTAATTATTATTAATAATTACTGCTGATTTTAATTAAATTTTTATTTAAATACGTAATTTTTATGCCATTATTTGTTGCATATACATACGCGTTTGCGCCATTGCCATACCAATCAAAAGATATAAAAGTTTTATAATAATATTAAAACCACACGTTAATTGCCATATTCTTTGGCAGCTCCAGGGCAAATTTTAAGTTAGTTTATTTTGTCATAGGTAACTCACAAAGATACTATCTGCCAATCATATCTGCCTTTGTTCTAAGCAGTTTGAAAATTTAAATTGGCCAACAAAAAATTTAAGTTTTAATGTTTTTGGCTCAAGAAAATCGAGAATTTTGGATTATTTGCGCATTTCCTTCTGCGATATACGATGGTAAAAGTACAGGAAAAATAGGCAAGTAGATGTACGAGTATGATGCCAAAAACGGAGCTATGTGAAGAACAAGTGCGAGTACCGTATATACTGTATTTATTACCCTCCCTCAAATAGTTACCCCACCTGCTTTTATTACCCCCTTTAGCAAGAGATCGAAACAATAATTGCCCTCCCTCAAATAATTACCCCCTATTTTTTCTAAGCTAATGTTGAAAATATTTATTAAAAAACATTATGATTTTAACAATGGGCATTTTAAGGATCATATAAAAAATAAATCAAGAAAATAAAAGGATTTGGAGAGGATAACCCGGATACTTTTAATTTTTAAGCATTTAAGGATCAATATTCTGTCTTTAGTCATATTATAAGAAGTATATTTACAGAATGTAGGGAATATTCCCTAAATAGGAATCATACTTACTTTTATACACATGACCATCGTGTCTATATCTCCCAGGGAGGAAGCATTGGTGTTATTGTACCGTATTGGGGTATATTATATATGAAAGTATTAAGGGAATGAAAAATATCTGTAAAAATTTACTAATATTTATCTCTGCATTCGGCAACAAATTGTATATTACTGTTCATATCTTTACGATAAAATAAAAAATTTACAGCTCGAAATAATAATTGCCCTCCCTCAAATAATTACCCCACCTGCTTTTATTACCCCCTCCAGCGAGAGATCGAAACAATAATTACCCAGGGTAATTAATACAGTATATACGGTAAACTAGAATCCCAGCCCCGTCCAGAACGTAAATTTTCATTAAAAATAACCTCTAATTCTCTTTCATAATTTATCCAACTCCTTCCCTAATTCCACAAAATGGAGCAATTATATATTTGTGTGCATGTGTTATAGCCGTTGGCCTTTTTTCTCTTTTTGTTGCCGCCTCGTTATTATCCCCTTAAATGCTTGTTATCGTTCTTATGTGCCAGGTGGAGATTGTGGTAGTTATTGGGAAAGAAGGTCCTTATCCGGTCTTGTCCACCTTTTCTTTTCTCATTGACCATTAGAAAGGATAAAGGGCGGGGCCAAAGACCGTTATTTGCCGGTTGGTCTTTTTGGTTTAAATTAGGTCTTCACTATATTTTCACACAAATTGGTTATTTAAAACGATCTTTCCTTCTACCTAACAAGCTTTTATGATTACAATATCATTCTCAATTTCATTCCAAAATTACTTTCTATTCTCATATTTACTTTAATTTTCTCTTCCTCCCTTCATCATTTAATGTGAGAATTCATTCCCTTCTTCATCTTTTTGACCATCAAAAATCTATTCACTTATCCACTCTCAATCATTTGCCAAGAAACCCCTCCCTTCTTTAATATGTCCATCTAAATTCAAAACACCTCATTTTCGTACCATTCGCTAAGAAGGGCACCTGGAAAATTATTATATTTTTTATATAATGATGGGAGAAAGGCTACAAATCTGGCACCTTCTAAACACAAAATAAATATAAATAACACTCCTCTTTTACTCTATTTTTAGAAAAAAAATTTGTTGAAAATAAATATATAAACAAATATATTTATCAAAAATTAATAAAATTTTAGTATTCTTAAAAAATCAAAAAAAATTAAATTATTTAAATTTCTCAAGTTTTATAAATCTCTCAAATCTTTAACTTTCCAAAAATGTTCTTTTCCTCTTCCTCAACCACTAAAAATACGTCAGAGTGTGAGAGGTCTTCCCCCTCTCTTTTATTGTTGGGAGATAATAATCCCCCCAATTCTATTCAACATAATCAACAAAACAATAACGAATTTGGATTATTTAATTCTTCTTTGCCTTCACCACAAAATAATTTAATTATTGAAGATTTGGGAAATACTAGAACAGCAAATAATTCTTTTGGTGATTGAAAAAAATATTAAAAATTAAAAAAAAAATTCTTGCCCTATTTTCTCTAATTAAAATGGCAAATATGATACTTATTAATTAATAATTTTTATTTATTTGAGTTTACCAATCAAATTTTAATTAGCACAGACATTATAATGAATAGAGATAATACTTAAAGGATAAAATATTAATATATTCAGAGAAAATTAAAAGAAAATTTCATGTCTGCCATTCGATTAGAGTAAATTTGATAAATCTTAAAATTTATAAAAAAGAAAATAATTATTAGCTGAAAACAATTATCATCATCATCATAATCAACAACATAAAAGGTGCTATCTCTCACAACATCATCAGCAACAAACTCAACAAATTTTTGGATCAACAATTAATTCTTCTACAAATATTCCACCCCCAAATAATTCCTTTCCCTCCACTTCTCCCCCAAATTCTTCTTCATTAGAAAATGATCCACCCTTAATGGGTGTCTCTAGTAGAACAAATACACCTAGCACTGTAGTTTTTGATGAATGTAATTGTTCAGCTTGTTGTTGGGGGACACCTCTCCCTCCTTTAATTTTACAAGAAAATAATGTTGGGGGGAATCTTTTGATTGGTAATAATATTTTGAATGGCAATGGCGCGCATGGCGTTAACGATAATGGCATAAATACACATTCACCTTCATTTTCTAGTTTATTATTGCTTAGTCCAGGAAACGGAAACAATCCTAGGCAAATTAAAAAAAGAATTTTTTTGTTAATTTTTAAAAGTATTTTTATAGACTTTCAAATGTTAATGGAACCGGGAATTATTTTGGACAAATACATACAAATACAACTAATGCAGGAAATGTTGGTAGTATTTATGGAAACAATACTGGAATACATTCTGGATATTATCAGGTATAGTTATTATTTAAATAATAATTATATTAAATAGTCTATGTATCTTTATCATCTAAAAATCACCTAAAAACACATTTTTTTCATAATATTTTAAAGAAAACTTTACTTCAAATTCATAATTTTTTGATATAAAAATATTTTTAATCAAAAATATATCCTTAACATAATTTTATTAATTTTAAAATTTTATAAAATATATTTTTCTCTTGTTTCCTTCTTCCACCGACTGGCTCTTACCGTTTCCTTGCCAACACTCCTTTTACTCTCAAATTGTGCGCGATAATGAGAAAAATATCCCTACAATTTTGGCAGTTTTGTATTTAATATTTATTATTTACCGCTGAGTAGCTAAATAATTAGAGGGCAAAAATGGCCGTTAAATGTTAGCATGTAAAACGGCTTGCGTGCCGTCATAACAGATGCTTAACATAAGCATAAGGTGTATATCTCATGTTGGATTAATAATCCTTTGAGAGAGGTAGAGATTAATATAAAAAAGAGATTTAATGATGTGAGGGGAAAAGGAAGAGATTGAGAAGTGAAGGAAATTTTATATTAGAGATAGTAGATATTAGAATAACAAAAATATGGTTATAATAAATGATATATAATTTAAATGTTAAAGCAATGAAAGGAAGGCTAGAGTAAATTGCTTTTATGTAATAAATATCTCTACTCGGCGCGCAATGAAACAAGAAAGTGAGAAAATTAATAAAACAAGCACAGTAAGATTTTTTGATTAGATTCTTTTTATTGGCTTCTTTTAAAATACTAAATAATTTTTAAAAGAAAGCCAGCTGCATTTTTTAACTATCTGTAATTTATATTTACCTCAACCTACATACATATTTCGTAAAAATTAAAAAAAAAAGAATTTACAAATAAACAAAAAAGAAAATAAATTAAATAAAAAATAAGTTTATTAATCAGAAGATATAACAAATTTTATTCTAACAAGAAGTATCAGAGAAATTCTAACTTTATCTAATTTCTAATCTATTTTTTCTCAATGGAATTACCCCCATTCCTCGCTCCGTGTCCTTCATCATTTATTTCCCCTTCTTCCTCCTCATCTTCATCTACATCTTCTAATTCTTCATCTTCTCCCTCATTTGGAGGTATTCTTCCACCAGTTAATTTGTTAGGGAATTCACGTCCCCAACCAATTAATAATAATTTAACTTCAACTAACCAGCAACAATGTTCTACTAATCTTTCCATACATTCATCTTCTCAACTTTCGTCATCTCCTTCTTCTTGTTCACATCAACATCATCATCCTTCTTCATGTTGGACTTTATATAGTCAAGAAACAGATAACAACAACAACAATAATACCAACGGTGGATTCCAACCTCCTCCCCCTCCTCCACACCAACTTGGAAATGGAGGGACATATTCACGTGTTTCTTGTATGATTGATCCTTCTGGACGTCAGCAACATCCTTCTTCATCATCTATTTCATCTACACCCTCTCCTGGGTCTTCTTCATCAACTGCTATTGTAAACAGACCTTGTGGACGTATTATTGGAGAGGAGGGGGTTACGACTGCAAAACTTGATTTAAGCAGAAGTTATGTAATTGGAACAATGGGGGGTCAACAACAACAACAACAGGTATTCAAAGAATTAATAAATTAAATTTAATTTTAAATAAAATTGAAGGCAACATTGGCAGCAGTATCTTCCTCAACTCCAATAACATTTCATATTCTAACAGCAAATTCTCTATTACAACAGCAACAAAATAATCCTGAACATCATCATCATCAATTACAACAACAAGAGCAACAACAACAAATTAATTATTTCTCAACAGGAAGACGTCAAATTCAACAACAGCAAATATTACAACAACAACAACAATTAATTGAAGCATCTGTGAGGAATTTATAAGGGAATGAATTGGGATGGGTAGGAGAGGAAAGGAGGGAAAGATTTGATTATCTAACGGTTTTGGAAAAAAATTATATCAAAAATTTAAATTAGTTTATTTCTTGAAAAAATATTTTGATAAGTTAGCAGCTAAAAAAGCCTTTAACAAATTGGAAACAAACTGATTGCGAAACTTTCGGAGACCGAGGAGAAAATGGCCACTAGATTAATAATTTAAAAAACCTTCGAGAGTTTCAATTCGAAGTTTAATTTTATTACTTGACAAGGAGGTCGATAGGGGTTTATCTATTTGAGACATTAAATAGTATAAATTTTGAAATGAAAATATTAACGCTTTAGCTACTTTAAACAATTTTTTATTCTCTAAAATTAAAATATTTTTTATTTTGGACTTGGACTATTTATTAAATATTTTTTATGGTCGGTTGAACCTTATAAACGTTTTCTTCATTCAAAATATTTATTCTTATTTTTTACCCAAATATTTTCTTCCAAAAAAATAAGGAGGAAGCCTTCCATTTATGTACACTACCTGCTGAGAAGAAAAATATTCAAAACAAAATTGTATAAAGTTTACCAACTTTTGGCCAATTTTTCTTTTCTTATTTTCCTTTTTAAAATTCTCGAAAAATTATTTTTAAAAATATCTTTGTTATTTTTCTTCTTCTTTTTCTTTTGCGCAAATGACACAACCTTCTAATAAAGGGGAAGTTTACTACACAATGTTTTTGTTACAACAACCTTTGGTTATTTTTATTTAATTGGATTTTTATATCCAGTCGAGAGTTTTTTGGAAAGGATGGAGAAACAAAAAAATTCTTGTGATAAATAGAAATAAAAAATATTAAATGATAAAATTTCCATTGAAAGGAATTTATTTTGTTTTTCTAATTTTAAAAACTCACCCAAAGTCTCCATTCCCCACAAAGTTGTTACTAATGTCCTTTCGTTTAGGTTATAATTAAAAAATAAAAGTACCAAAATATAACTTAAAAATCAAATTTCTTTAAAGCATTACCACCAACATACATCACAACATCCATTAAATCCCCAACCTCCCACAAGTACTTTATTACAATCTCCACATACTTTTGTTCTTCGAAGATCTGGAGTAAATAATCAAAGAAAATCTCCAAATATTTCTGTAGACGAAGTTGAAGTAGAAGGAGGGGGAGGAGGAGAAAATAATAGACAAATAATAATAATTAATGAAGATATTAATTCTGAAAATGAGGGGAAAAGAACAAAAAATTGTTTACAAAATGAGAATGAAGGAGAACAAAATAATCAAAATAATATTGCTAAAGCGCCTCCTGAAACTGTAAAAATAAATTTAAATTTAAATTTAAAAATTAAATATTTTAATTTTTAGTTAGAATGGATTAAAGCAAATTATGAATTAGTAGAAGGGGCTTCTTTGCCTCGTAATATACTTTACGAGCAATATAAAACGTTTAATTAATTAATTATTTAAATAATTTTTTATTAATTTTTTAGTCATTGCAAAGAATTAGGATTTACTCAAGTAAATGCTGCATCTTTTGGAAAATTAATTCGTCAAGTTTTTGATAAAAAATTATCAACTCGTCGTCTTGGTACTAGAGGGAATAGTAAATATCATTATAATGGTAGAAATAAAAGGAGGGAAAAATAAATATTTAAATTTAAATTTAGGTATTTGTTTAAAACAAAATAGTCCTCTACGTGCTACAATGAGTGCAGAGGAATTAGAAAGGATGATTAACGGTTCACAACAACCACATAAAAATTCTCAACGTTCACAAAGAAAACAACAATTTAACAATAATAATTTACAAAAATCAAAAAGAAAAATTGAAAGAGAAATAAATTCAAATAATTTAAATAATTTTTCTTCTTCCGCAGCAACATCTCCGTGTGAAGAAAGAGAAGGGTCTATTAATATTGAATTAGAACAACAATATCAACAACAACAAAGGTATTAAATAATGCTCTAAAATTTCTAATAAAATCGCTGGTCCCACGATTTTTAAATCACCCTTTGAAAGGTCGTTAAATTAGAGATTTTACGATGGTCAAAAATAATTTAATGAGAATTTCATTAAATCATTACTAAAAGTTCAAAAAAAAATTTCCTAGTAAAAATTTATCTTTAAAAAATAAATTATACACATTTAACATTTAATAGTCCTCCTTTAATTTATCCATCAAATATTAATCATCACAACCAACATCAACAACAAACAACAGCAACAACATTAAATACTTCCTCTTCATTATCTCCCCCAACATTTTTATTACCCCCTCCACAATTAAATGATTTAATTGAAATAAAAGAAGGGGGGGTTAAGATTACCAGAAATAGAATTACCTATTTTGGATGAATGTATTCTTTTGAGATATGGATTGAGTGTTGGGCATGTTTTGAAATTTTTTGATGATTATAGAGAACATTCAAGGGTTTTCTTTAAATTTTAAAGAAAGAAAATAATTATATTTTTTTGAAGAAAGTTTTAAATTGTGTAAAAGATTTTCGATTAAAATTAATTGAACAATTATGGATATCTTTTTGGCAAAAAAATAATGCTGATATTGAACAATGTCAACAAAGAGGAAGAAATATAAATGAGGAAAATAGTGTTGAATTGTGAGTAATTTGTTATTTTTTTGTAATTTTTTAAATATATTAAAATGTGAATAGTACGAATGCGAGATATTTTTTCGAGATTATCGAGTGGGCTCCCATACAAAATACCGAATTCTTAAAATATGGAATCTCAAAATCGCGAATCGGCTAAAAAAGCTCAAAATATGGAATCTCAAAATATCGAATCTCAAAATATGGAATCCCAAAATATCGAATCGGCCAAAAAAGCTCAAAATATCGACAATGCGGCAAAAGCCAGTTGAGTCTGAACAATCTTATCAACAACTTCGAAAAAATTTAAAAATATGCAAAAGGGTTTTTCTAGGGTAAAAAGATATGCTGATTACGAATCTGAGCTCGGATTTTGAAAAAGTCGAATCCCAGACCCGAACCGAGCTTCAAATCCCGAACCGAATATCGATTTTCCGAATGATAGCTCATTTGAAAGAGCACGTCGAGCTGCATCGACTGACACCAAAATCAATGAAATCCGACTTTATTGGACTGAGATACAGACCCCTGAATAAACTGAAAAAAACCTGCACTCAATTGGCGGCACTCAAACGGCCCTTTTCGTTTTTAAAAAATCCGACATTTTTAACTACTTTTTAGCCGATTCGGTATTTTGAGCATTTTAGCCTATTCGAGATTTTGAGATTCGATATTTTAAGATTCCATATTTTGAGCTTTTTTGGCCGATTCCATATTTTGAGATATTTTTCCCGATTCGGTATTTTGAGCTTTTTTAGCCGATTCGCGATTTTGAGAATTCGGTATTTTGTGCGGGCACGTATCGAGTGAAGATCTCTAAAACACCATTTACCTAAATATGAATATATGAAGAAACTGACATATTAGAGAGATTCGAATGTCTATTAAACCTCGCAATTTTAAATTAAAAATATTCACCGCAAAACTTGAATTATAAGGAAATGATATTTTGTTTCCAATGCATTTTTTTGTTCTTGTACATATGTACAAGAACAGAATGTTAAGCTTGTAAACTTCATCTTAATATTTTCACAAAATATGTTCTATGATAAACTATTAATTAATTAATATTTAAAAATTAATTTTTTATAGAGGTTTAATGCGCGGTGCTCCAATTTTGGATAATCGTTCTTTATGTCGTCTTTGTTCTTTGCCTGAAATTATTTCTTATGTTGAAACTTTTGATTTAAAATTTTACCAAATTATTTTGGATTTTTTCTTTTCTAGTCCATTACGAATTCCTTTAGAAAGTTTTTTTTATTTTAATTTTAAAAATTATTTTTTTTTCTTAAAAAGGTGATTTATGTAATAATCTCCGAAATTTTGGTAAAAGTATTGAATTTTGGATGGAAAATGCTTTGGGAGGAGGAAATAATTCAAATTTAAATTATTTAATTCCCCCAGCATTTAAAAAAGCTAAATTAGAATGTATTCGGTTATTGGCTAATTCTTTAACTCGTTTATCTTCTTTTGTTCATTTGGCTATTACTGCTAGAAGTGTTTTACAAAATAAAGAACAAGTTAAAAAAGTACACGATGATTTTAATCGGTAAATTAATTTAATTAATATCATTTCCCTCTCAATAAATTTAAAAATAATTTTTAAATTAATTAATTAATTAATTAGCCCCGAGCCTTCGGGGGCGGAAGTGTCGGGTTTCGGGTTTTGCCGGGGTAGAGACTTCGGGGGTCGGAGTTTTGCCCACGCGGGGGTTTGTGACGTGGTTTTTGTCTAAAAATTCGTCGGGGACGGGGTGCCACCCTATTTTAACCATTTAAATTAGCCTCACAACTTTTAAAATTATTAGTGTTGATTTTGGAGTTTTTCATTGGCAAGCTGATTGGTTATGTTCTTCTAACTCTTCTTTAAATAAAAATTCATTCCAAGAATCAACAGAATTAAATGAAAGTTTTTGTAATTGTAATGTGTTGGCACGTGAATTGGTAAAAATAATAATTAATTTAAAAATTAAAAAATATTTTTTTAATAAAAAAAGGTTGGACAATTTCGTGAACGTTTATCTCGTCATTGTTCAATAGAAGAATGGGCTGATTGGCTAGAATCAATTGTTGATAAAGCTTTGAATTTTCCAAAAACATTTGAATATTCCCCCCAACAAATAGCTAGTAAAGGAAAACGATTTTTGTTAGCTTGGACTTTGCATTCTTCTCTGCTTTTAAAAGAAATTACTTTACATTCTTCAACTTCTTTTGGAGAATTTCATTTAGTTCGGCTTGTATTTGATGATTATTTACTTATTATTATGGAAAGAAAATTGGCAAAAATTTTGGGGAAATTGCCTATTGAATTAATGGCACCTGAGGTTAATAATAATTTTGTTGAGAATTTTAAAGTTTTTTCTTTGACTTTTTGAAATATGGAATGGAGAGTTTCACTTTTTCCCTTTACTTCATCCCTATGAAGATATTAAGTAATTAAATGTGATTAACATCTCAGAAATAATATATCTAGGATTAACTATATTATCGTCAAAAAATCAGAAAAAATAAATATACATATTATTTTATTTTAATTTAGTGGCTGCAAATGGAAGCAAGTTTATTCCAGACACAACAACAAAATACAACACAAACAACATTAAAACCAGAAAAAACTTCTCTAAACTTTTCTTCTTCTCCAAATAATCCTCCAAATGTTTCAACATCTTCTTCACTTGTCCATTTATTACCTTCTTCAACAACACAACATTACCAGAATTTCTATTCAACAAATATACAACAACAACAAAAACAACAAACGAATTCAACACATTACCCAATGGTTGATACTTTACAGAAATTTTAATTTAAAAAATTCTTTTTTAAAGGTCGAGAAACTTCCACTTCCCGGGCCTGAACCTCCCTTAGATATGTTAAATGTAAATGGTGAAGAGGATGATTATCAACAAGAAACAACAACAATTAATTCAACTCCTTTAACTCCCCCACAAATTCAAAAAGAAATTCAAAATAAATATAAAAAAATAATAAATGAAACAGGAGGAACATCATCAACAACAACAATTCATTATATTTTAGTTGAAGAACAAAGAAGAGGAGAAGAAATGTTGGGATTAGATGCAGAAATGGAAGAAATAGAGGAAGATAATTATGAAAAAGAAGAAAATGAAGAGGGCTTTGTTATAATTAAAAAACAAAGAAAAATTCAAGAAATTAAACAAAATAATGATTTTAATAACGATAATATTTTGAAAAAATAAGTAAAATTAATTTAATTATAAAAAAATTTAGTTGAATTATCCTTATTTCTCTTAAACCGTTTGGTAATGAATAAATGCCCTCAAATATATATCTAGTAAATCTACTATTTATTTTTAGTGAAAATTCCCTATCAGTAAAATGTCTGTATAACCAGAAATTATATTTTTAAAAGAGCCATCATAACTAGAGCCCGGCTTTTCGATATTTTTATATTGAATATAGACCGAATCCTCCAGCCGGGCTCTAATCATAACCAAACGGTTAAATTTAATATTTAGTAAAAAATATTTAATTTGTTAAAAATGTTGAAAAAAAAGAAATGAATTTTTGAATAAAAACAATTTATTTATTTAAAAATTCTTTTCTTTAATCATTTTTACAAATTAAATTTGAAAAAATTATCTTAAAAATGATCTCTTTTCATTCATTTATAATTAATTATTTAAATAAAAATTTTTAAAAATTATTTTATTCACAACAATTAGTTTCATTCGTTTTATTTTCTTCTTCAATTATTTTTCTTAACGGTAATTTTGGAATTTTTGTTCGAAGTCTCCCTGTTGGTGAAATTAATAAAGTAAAGGGCCTATTTGCGGCAGAAATCATTGGTTTATTTACAGACATTTTTCTTTTTAATTTTTTTATTTTTGATGGATTAGAACATGCTAAATGTAAAGAACGACAACAAACAAGCAAAGAACATAAAGACAAAAATCCTTTGAAAAAAAATTTTTTTATAAGAATTATTGGGGCGTGGATGTAAAGAATAATTTCAAAAATAAAATTGGAATTTTTAATTTATCTACTTTTGTTTATTGAATATTCATTTATTTATTTTTATAATTATATTTACTTTACCTCCAATTAAGGCAAAACATAATAATATAGAATTAATTGCTGGACCAATACATTTTCGAATATTTAAAAAACTTTCTTCTTTTAACCATTTTACCCAAATTAAAGGTTCTATTAATTGTTTTGTTTGTGGACAATTAATTTTAATAGGAATTGGTTGGTTAGAAAGTTTTTGACTACTTTCAATACCCAAACAAGCCCACAAAAGAGAAGTAAATACACAACCAGGTAATAAAATACATAAAGAAATTCTTTCTGGCCATCGACTAAATTTTAAAAATAAATTTTGTCAAAGTTATTCATTACCTAGCAGATATAAAACTCAAAACTGAAGATAAAACAGCAAATAATGAAGCAGAAACACCAAAATTGGATTGACTTAAAGGATTTGTAAAAGCATCAAATATTAGAAGAAATAACCCCAAAATAAGTTGGGTAATGCCCAACCAACCAAGTGGGCCACTTCCTTTGCTTGATGGTGAAGGAAATGTCCTCCTTTAAAAATAAAATTTTTTAATTAAAAATAAATTGTAGGAATTAACTAATTCTTAGTTTCTCTTAAATATAAAATAGCATCCTTATATTTTAATGGTATGCTTATTTTAATGGTATGCTTTCCTTTATCACCATTACGCAACGAAAACGGTGTTTGAAAATCAAAATAAAATAATATTAATAATTTTAATTAAATTATTTAATTAAAATTAGAGAGCACAGAGTATGTTACTCTTCTCATGTCGATATGAGTGACTTTTTAGGTATATGTCAATTGGGGCAGTTTGAGTCTTAAACTTTACAACTTTACAAAGGAATTATTTTAAAAACTTTACAACCAAAGATATGTATAGATAGTTATCGAAAATGTGCTTCTAACAAACTTAAAAACAAATTTAATTCCAACTTTTTTTTAATTATTTAAAATTCTTCTACCTTTTCTTTATTCCTTTATCACCTCCATTACTTCCATTCTTTAAATCTTCTATATTTTCCAAATCTTCATTTAATAAAGCTTCGGTAATCGCAATTTCAGCTTTTTCTCTTGCTTCCCTTTCCTCTTCCTCGAGTTCTTGAATTGTTTTCTTTCTAGCAGGTGGGGGAGGGTGTTGGTCATTATTAAAAAATTGATCAACCATTGAAGAAGGAACTTCTCCAGTTTGGGGAAGATTTAAATAACGACTACCCATTAAAATTAATTAATTATCAATTTGAAGACTAATGGAGATAAAAGAGATAAAAATGATCAAATACACAAAGAATAATTTTTTAAATCAAGATTCAGTGATGATAGGACAAAGGATGTTAACGGGGGAAAGTAATTTCCAAAATTCTATTTAATTTCAAAAAAACTTTCATGCTTTAATGAAAATACTTTAAAAAATGGATTTATTGAGGTGGGGGATTGATCGAAGAATTAATGTGTGGTAGACAGCCGGAGAAAAAGATCTTTAAAAAAAGTAAAACCTCAAAGTCAAACAAAAATTTGTTATAAAAAATTGGATGAACATTTGTTGTTTTATTTAAAATTTTATATTTATGTATAAATGTTTAGATTTTATAGTTTTTGTTTTGAAAACATTATAATACTTACACATGTATAAATTTATGAAAGTTCAATGTAATTTTATCCATTTCAGCCTTATTGGCATTTTGTCCAATTTTAGCCTTATTGGTGTTTTGAAAAGTTTTACCCTCATTGACATTTTGTCCATCTCAATAAAGTTTTGTAAGATTTTCTCTCTCTTTTTTTTTCTCTCCTCTATTGTCTATGTTATTTTCTCATTTTATTTTGACTTTTAGGTATATACTCTAAAATTATACCAAATAACTTAATAATGTGACTCAAACTGCTTATATTTCACATTAACAATGTGCCATTGTTTGGCGAAAGACTGCAAAATTAGCAAAATCTTCAAATAATTTTAATAATGAACAAAATATTTAACGAACACGAATATGATACTAAACCTGGAACGAGTTTTGATCGTCATTTGACTGAACCAGCTTCAGTTTTCTTTAATGGAAAAATACGTATATTTAGTGAACTTGATTTGTCTTCGCGGGAGGGGGATGTTCTTGTTAATTTTTGTGCCAGCGATATTCTTTCTGGTTTGTTTTTAGAAATAAATATATGTTTATATTTGTTTTCTATTCAGGTGATGAAACATTTTTGGGAATTCATGAACTTTCTGGAGATAAATTGAAGGATGTTTGTGTCAGATATAAATCTCTCGGTATTGGAAGTTGTCGATTTACTGATTCTTTTGGACTCAACAATTTTAAAAGTATTTTAATTTTTTTATTTTATTTAAATTTTTCTAAAGAAATTGCCCATTGTATATTGCCTCGACCAGTACAAAGCGATGATTGTGTTGATATAGATGAACTTGTAGAATTCGATTTAATGCTTTGCTATAGAAATGTGATGGATTTATTGATAGAGAAAGGGTATAATTCTGTTGTTTTTACACATCCACTTCTTTATATGGATAAAACAAGTGTTGTTACTTTGGCTGTAACTGTTTTAACTTATTGGATGGAATTTTCTGTTTATGCAGAAAAAGTAAAAAAATATTTTGAATTTTTTTGGGAAGATTCCAAAAATTATTTTCAAACATTTCACCAATTTTTTAGCTCAATTTCATCAGCATTGTCTGTTCATCCAAAGAAATTTCACAATATTATATTAATAGTTTGGATGAATTGTCCGCTCGTGGATGGGAGGAATTTGCTATTTCACATTCAAATGTTATTTATTCTTATTTACTTGAGACATTTGGATATGAAGGAAGTAATTCTGCCGGTTATAAGGTTTGTTATTTGACATAATTGTTTGGGATTTTGTTTAACTTAGTTTGTTTTGTGGAATGATGATGCTTCCGAATAGGATAGGGAAAATAGCTTTAAAATCCCTATTGAGACAAAACTTCCATTACTTTCTCCTTTTTAAAGTCTCATTCAGTTCTCATAATGGGGTAGTCGTTTTCATTTGCATATTCCTATTTAAGCTCCCGAAGCTAACTATTTTCTTAAAAAATTTTTTTTAAATCATTTTAGGCGAATGAAATAGATCCAATATTAAGACTTCGCTATATAGAGCCAATTGAATATAGTGAACCACTTTATGACTTGCGGATATTGGAAGTTGTTTTTGAGCGAGAATATGCGCCATTGGTATTGTTAGATCACGACTCTATTCTGCAGCAATATCAACAATTAAGGGACAGTAAAGGGTTATTTTTTGTTTGAAATTTTTTAAAATAATTTAAATTTATTAGAATGTATGATGAGGGAAATGAGGCTTTGCTTTCTCCAATGGAGGATATAAATTTAAATCAATTTTGTATTGAAACATATGGTTTTGACGAGACATATATTCGACAACATCCTGATGAAGTTTACGAAAAACTGTGAGTTTTTTAAAATATTTTTTGTAAATATTTTTAGTTTTTATTCTCCGGATGGTGTTCATCTTCAACTTTCTCGAAATTTAAGTCATTCTATTTTGTCTATCGAGGAGAAGCAAGGCGGTCTTTTAAGGCAATATAGAATGACAACTCAAAACCGTGAAGGAGAAACTTTTTACTTTCGATGTTCTCGTTGCGAGTCCTTAATGAGATATACAAATGTATTTTTTTAATTTAATTTTTTTTGGTCTCCCCTATTTAATACGGCAATGTAGTTTTTCAGTTTGATGCCTGGCCTATTTCTTCCTGATAAATTTTTATTTAATTTTTAACTCCCGTTAGATTAGGTATAAAGATAAGCTACATTTTACATACTTTTCCAAATGATTTTTCTAAAAATTTAAAATAATCAATTTAGGAGCAATTCCGCCCAAAAATTATTGTTCGTGAAGGATTAATTCAAGGAGATTGTTACCCATCCCACCACCCTCAATGTTTTCCAGCAAATAAAGAATGGGTAATTCTTCAACAATTGCATCGACAAGCTAGATTATATTTAATTGAAATGACTACTGCCCAACAATTTGAAAATTTTGATGAAAATTATGGAGAAGATCACGAATATGGACAAGAATTTGTTTATAATGATTATTTACCTGATAGCAATTTGCAACAGAGAAGTAAAGATTTTGGACAAAGAGAGGTTTTTTATATTTTTTAGAAATTTAGATTGACCTTAAAGACAAGTGCATAACCAGGGTCGGATTTCAGAGTGAGGTTAAGATTTGGTGGGCCAATAATTCTTGAATTTTTGAATTTAGAAGGTCGTAAGCGGAAATTTTTAATTTTTTCGATCGTCCTTCTTCCAATATTTTCTCTTTTCCCCTACACGCCCTTACTAATTGTAAAGAACCAAATAGCTTTAAGTCTGTTTTGGACATTAAATTAAATGTTGATTATATGTTTATTGTAAACTAAACAAATTAATTTAATATTTTATAATTATTTTGAAATTAATTTAGCCTGGATTGGACATCAAGCAAGAGACTGTTGATGATGATGATCTTGGTTTGTATTTTACAATGGGTATACAGGGGTTGGATTTCAGGGGAATTGGGCCTCTGGATATGCCCTTAGTATTTTAATAAAATCATTTTTTAGCCTATATCGGATCTAAAACGAAAAAAAATCAACAAAAAATAGAACAAAATAAAATTAAAGAAGATATTATTACTAATGGCAAAAAGAGTAAAAAATTCCGAATAATTCGTAAAAGAGGAGGTATGACAGATATGGCTTTTGATTGGCGTGAAACTGATTTTAATGATGGAAATAAAGGAATGAAGAAATAAAAGGGGAGTAATTAAAATTGAAAATTGATTCTATTTTTTTAGTTTTTTGTGTGATTGATTTTGTACCATTATAAATCAATGATAAATAAATTGGAAATCAGTCTTTTAGAGAGTTGGCCTTTGTGGAGAATAATTATTTTAGCTATTTAGACATTTTTGTTTTTAAGCAGCTGTAGTTAGGTGCTTACGGGTAACAGAGCTAGGGTTTCGAATAATGTATTACGCGTGGCGCGGACTTTGCATTTTTTGCGTAAACCCAATTTACCTCTGATCGTCTGCTCCCAATTTTTAAATTAAAAAAAGGAAAAAAATATTGGTCTTAATCAAAAACAAATTACAGATATTATATTTATGGATGGGCAAATACATACAATTAATACGTACAAAAAATCAGAGAAAGAAGATCCAATATACACACAAGATATTTATCTTGACATCGTTCTGCTATGAGTGTTCTTCTTTTGCCAATCATAAGGCTCCCTCAAATTGCAATTCCGTCGTTTCGCCACACGCTTGACCATTTCGCGAATCCAGTGGTAGTCTATCTTGTCCACATAGTGCAGTCCATTCAAGTATGTGATCACCTCACAGAACTCGCTCTCCTGTAAAAATTAAACAAGAGATTATATTGCCATAAAAGAAGTCTATTAGGGGTGTGCCGAAACAGATTTTAAAAAGCGAAAAACGAAAGCCAAAAGGCGAAACGGCACACCCCTGTTTCCCAACAACTCACCTCGGAGCTCTTGAACAATGTTCGTGGTTCGGCAATCGCCTTCCTCTTCATTCGCTCAACTTCGTCCACGTCGGTAACCATGTGCCACGGAAGTCGATTCTCATTGACCATGTCCACAACCATATAGATCCAACTCTCGCAGTCGTCTTTACGTCCAAGCTCCTCCATCTTGTGCATAGTCACTGGGGCGAAGCGGACGGTGCCTTTGAACTTTATCTGAAAATTTTGAAAAAGATAACCAATTTCCTTGTGATTTATCTTTCCTTACCTTTCTTCGTGGTGTCAGCATACTCCCCTTCGCGTCAAGAATCTTCCGTGCAATCCCGTAATCGACAACGTAAACAGTGTTGGCGTCTTTGGTCCCTGGCGCTCCGATCACGAAATTTGCCGGTTTGATGTCGCGGTGAAGAAAGCCAAGATCGTGCATTTCTTTGATCGCGTCAATCGACTGGATGGCACAATAGTAGGCAGTGTTAGGGCTAAAAATAGTAAAGGGAAGAAATTAAAAAATAGACCTCTTCAGGTAACAAACCTGAAGATCCTCTTTCTGTACGCTCGCTTTATGTCTCCCAGCGACTTGCCCAAAAGCGTCATGACAATGAACATACTCTTGGTTGTACTGTGCGGTTCACTATGGTCAATGAGCGTGGGCAAGTGTTGTCTCTCTTCCGGCTTTGCCAAGGCAGCTGCCTGCAACACCCGCACCTCCATCTGCAGCTTGTAGTGGTCACGCTTTGGAGCACGCTTCTCAAGTTTCAGAGCAAAGACGCCTCCTTTAGAGCCTCGAACTTTGTGGACAGCGCCGTATCCGCCGGAAGCGATGTCGGAAACTACAATGAACTCCTGTGTGGCGCTAAAAAAGGAGAAAAGATGAGAACGGATTTATAAAATTGTGAAATGAAAACTGACCCTTGGTACGTTTTGACGCTGGCCTCCGAACTTATTGACGCAGTGTGCATGGTAGTTGACGTTGGACGACTAGTGGTCGAGAAAGGAGGAAGAGAAGCAGTGGAGTAGTTATGGGTGGTAAGGAACAAAGATATTGAGGCTTTTATAATGCTTATCATCGAAGTATTATCAAAGTCCATTTACTCAAAAAACTTCGAATATAAAAACCGTCAGAGAAGCGCCAATTAAATCCAGTTACTCATTTCCAGTTTCTAGCTAGCCAGTTTCGTCAATTCGCCCCTTCCAGCCGCACTTGTACTCTATGGCCAACATGGACATCGACAGATTACTGACGTATCTTATTGATAAGCAAGGCCCTGACCTCGCCGCAGCTGTGAGTTTGCTTATATTTTGTTTAATAAATAATTCCTTATGTAATTTTATTTTAAGGTTGATGCGTCTGTGCTTTTTGAAGTTTGCCGTCAGGCCCAGCAAGTTTTCGAGTCGCAACCCGTCCTTCTGGAGCTCAACCCGCCTGTGGTCGTTTGCGGTGACATTCATGGACAATATGTGGACCTATTGCGGATTTTTCATCAGCTAGGCTACCCACCAACGGCAAACTACCTTTTCCTAGGAGGTTTGGATAGCTGTGTTTCCCTTTAAAGAAATAAAATTTAACTTTTCATAGATTACGTCGACCGTGGAACCAAAAACCTGGAGACGATCGCTCTGCTCTTCTGCTACAAAATCAAGTACCCGCGCAACTTCTTTTTGCTTCGAGGAAACCATGAAACGGCTGCAGTGAATGCTGTGTACGGCTTCCGGCAAGAGATTCAAAGGAGATTTGGTCGGAATGAGCATGGACCGTTGTGGCGTATGTTCAACGAGGCATTTTCGCAAATGCCTGTCACGGCAATTATTGGGGGTGAGGAAATAAATTTTCAGACGTGTCAGCGAAAATTCTCTTTTTTAGGACGTATCCTTTGTATGCACGGAGGCCTTTCGCCACACTTAGAGACCAGAAAGCAGCTACGCAAAATACCTCGCGGATGGCATGACCCTGGAGAAAACCGACTAGCATTGGACCTGCTGTGGTATTGAGACTGGGTTTGAGTCAAATGACATTTTTTCTCTTTTAATGTAGGTCCGATCCCGACCCAACCATAAGAGGCTGGAGACCAAGTCCCCGCGGATGCAGCTACTTATTTGGTAATGACGTTCTGCTAGATTCTTGCCGTCAACTCGACATTGATCTGATTGTGCGCGCGCACCAAGTGGTTCAGGATGGATATGAAATCAACCCAACTCAACGACTCATTACAGTGTTTTCAGCACCGAATTACTGTGGAGAAGTGAGTTTGGAAGAGGGATTCGTCTATACTTTAAAAATTTCCTCATTTTTTCAGTTCGACAACGCCGGCGCAGTGATGTACGTCGACCAGAGGCTTGGATGCTCTTTCGTTCAATTTCGACCCAAAGTGTGAAAATGAAAACAGAACGGCAGAACAAAATTATAAATATTGATTGTATTGTTTACCCTAAAGTTTATCGTGTAGCCCTCACTTTTTATTTTTGTTGTTAGCTGTGATTTTTTTGTTTTGTATGTGCTATTGTATATTCAATCTATTAGCATTAATAAAAATTAGCGTGTATTCAGGGTTATATATTTCTTGATTTTTAACGCAAACTTTCGGGGGTCGGCATTTACGGATGCGACAATTGTAAATCTAGGTGTCGTCCGAATCGACGTTCGGATTTAAAAAATATTTTTAAATTAATTTTTTATTATTTTTTTCTAAAATATAAAAATAAGACAATCCCTAAAGCAGTCCCTCAATATTATTTGCGATTTAACAATCTAAAAAAAAGCTATTCAGTCATATGAAGGAGAGAAATAATACAAAAAAATAAAGGAAAGGACAAAGAGCAGAAAAGTGGAGGCGGGAATGTTTGACGGCTGGAAATAACAAAAAAGCAAAAAATATCTGTGTGTGTGAGTGTTTTATTTGTTGCGACAAGTGGAGTGGGAGAAAAAAAAGACTGTTGTCGTTGGCCAAACAAAAATGTCTGTCAAAGTATCCTCTTTCTTAATTCCAACCATTTTTTATTTTTTTTCTTCCATTAGTTGCACTTGTTTCTTCAATAGAGAGAAGGAAAATATATAAAAATGGAGTAAAGATTCTTATTTTTTTATTTTTTTCTATCATTCTTGAAGGCTTAAATATTTTAGAGAAAAAAAGCAAAAAAGGAGTCAGCCAGTTCTTATTTGCAATGGTAAAATTCAAAGATGGCTCCGCCATCTTTGCTCTTTTTCTACTATTTATTACTTCTTTTACTAAATGAGGATATACTAACTATTTTTAACTATTTTAGCTTTTAGGTATTTTTTTATAAATTGTTAAGGAAATTGTAATATTTTAAAGGTTCTCAGATTTGTAAAAAAGTAACGACAAATAAAATTATTTAATTAATGATTTTATTTTTAAATAAAGTTTTAAGATGTTTTTAATTTTGATTTTTATTTAATTATAATATTTAATCAAAAACTAAGATTAAAAATAGCTCATTTTTATTAATAAAGTAATATTATTTTTTAATTTGTTAATTATAATCGTCATCCTCTTCTTTGTTAATCCTTTTATAAAACTACATTTCCATTTATGTAACTAACGTCACCTTTTACACTAATTCTTCTTCTTTTTGTACATTTAGTACATTACTTTTTTTTCAATTTTCTTAATTTTTTTAAAAATTTTTATAACTTTTTAAATATTTTTAAATAATTTACTCAAAAACTAAAAGCAACAAAATCTTCTTTTTCTGTCCCCTAACCGGATGAAGGATCTTTAGACTTAATTCATTTTTCAAATGGAAATTGGTCCCTGTTTGGAGAAATGAGGAAAATTTGGCGATTTAGAAAATGAGAAAGGAGAGAGAGAGAATCGAATGACCCTTGAACGCCACCCAGCAAGGAGAGAAATAAATAAATTGCTGAAGAAAAAAGGGGAGAGGGAGGGGAAATATTAAATACTTTCCATATAATTTTGCTAAACATTCCCGTCTATGGAGGAACTTTAGAAAAAAATTTTTTAGTTTTATTCTCGTTTTTCTTTTTCGTCGTTCCTTTTCCTTTACATATTTTCTCTCTTTTTAATTTTTCTTTTATTTATATGGCCACCCAAATATTTTTTGTTTGATAAAAAACTTTTATTATTAAATATTTATATTTTGTTTAAAATATTTAAAGTTTTGATAAGAAAATATTTTAAAAAAAATTTTGATTTTATTTAAAAATATAAAGGAGTAATTTCCATTTAAGGATTGGAAAGATTATTAATGGATTAAATAATCTTTGGAAAGCTTTAAAATATATGTATTTATAGAACAAAATAATTATATGTCATTTTCTTGTAATTAATTAACTTTTCCCACAGTTTTTTTTCATTCATCTTATTCCAAATATGTATAACTTCCGTTGCTTTTATTTTCAAAAATGTTTGTGTCTGTAATTTTTTTTGCAAAAATATTAGTGAAGTTGGTTGGCATTTTGTAGAAAAAAAACTAAAAAAGGGAGGAGGGGAGTGTATATGCAAAATAATATTAAATTTATTTATTTATCTCTATAAAGGCCATCAGTATTTGCAAATAAATATATTTAGTCTAAAATAATGGTATTTTTAGTTAGATTATATGTCCGTCGGTTGGTTCGAGTCAGTCAATCCCCTTTTTCTTTCTCTTCTTTTTTTCTTTTTTTTTAGTCCTTTTCCCCTCACATCAGACAGCCATTCGACGTACAAAACACACATTCCCCTCAAAATACAGACAATAAAACACACAAAACAGAAAAAAAGCACAAAAAAAGAAAAAGAAGAGGGGAAAGGAAAAAGGGGTGGTTGCAGCCGTCCCTAGCACGCCAGAATACCCCTTTAGAAGAATAAAAAATATATTTTATTTTTTTCTTACTTAGAGCCACCCAACAGCAAAAGTGTTCGGGTGCAGACTTACTTGCAGCAAACAAGAGAGAAAAGGGCGATAGAAGGATATTTTGATTTTTGGTCGAATGCAACAGCAGAAAGGCGTGTTCATTTCTTTGCCTGATTTGCCCCAATCCTCCCCTTTACTTTTACACTTTTCTATTAACCTTCGAATCGACAAAATTGAAAAAAAAAGTAAAAAAGGCATTCTCGTGTTATTTAAAATTTTTTCTTTTTTTTTCTTTTAACGATTAACGTATTTTTGAGAGAAAAATTCTTTTTTAAAATTTGATTCATCTTTTTTTAACTCCCCCCCACCCCCCCCCCAAACTTTTAGCTATCCTTTACTTTTTCTGTCTGGTATTTTTTGTTGTACGGATTTTTGGTCTTCAAATTTTTTGGAATTTTGATCACCATGAAGTAAAGCATCCATTGGGGTTTTGTATATATTTTGGCGTTATACAAAAGTTTTTTTTGAATATCCATTCTCTGAATAAGAGAATTGCTTTTTTTATTAGACACTAAATTTCGTACGAGTAATTTTCCGGTGACCAAATTTTAAAACTTCTGCAGAAAATCAAAATTTCTTTGATAATACATATGTAAAATATTGTTTTGAATGTTTAACTAAAATTGCTTGGCCTTTTTTAATTTAAAAATAAATATAGGTATTTAGGTAATTGTTTTTTTCTGTCTAACTCTCAAACTTTATTCACATTTTTATTTATTTTTAGCCTTTCTCAATTTTGCTTTAAATTTTCTTTTTATTTCTTTAAGCATATTTTAATTTTAATAGCAATATCTAAATAAATATATTTTTCTAAAATTATTTTTAATTAAAAAATTATAAATATTTTTTTTTGGATTTTTTCTCCAAACGGTTATTTAAAGTATTTGAAATAAATATTTAACATAACAATTAAATTCCATTAACTCCCCCACTTTTTTAAATTAAACTTATTTTTTAGAGACAACTTTTATTAAAATTATTATTTAAATATATTTGCAGAAATTACTTTTATCTAAATAATTTTTTGATGTTTTATAACAAAATAATTTTCCAAATATTTTAGCTATTTAGAAAAAAATTTTTCAAAGCACCAGCCCCCACCCTCTCTCTAATACATTCCTTATAGAATTATGACGCAAATAAATGTGTAGGTTTGTAACTAAAACGCCCACTTAATAAAAAATAAATAAATTTATATAACACATCTTTTACTTAATTTTCAGAATTTTTTTACAAATATTTTTGTATAATTTTTGTAACAAATTAACCCTAATATGTATTTAAAAATTTAAAATTAAGGAATGGACTAATTAATTATTTAAAAATAATATTTTGTTGATTTTTCTTCTCCTTTTTTAAATATAATAATCAAAAAATTCTTTTAAATAATTTTTCCATTAAATTCTTCAAATTTTTATTCCTTTCCTTCTAAATCGCTTTTTACAATTATTCTAAATATTTTATTAATTACTGCAAAAAAGTTTAATATATTATATAGTAATTTATTTTTTTTCCATTTTACTTTACTGTTACTTTCAATTTTTGATAGTTTTTTTCTTTCCTTCTCTTCAATTTCTTCTACATATTTTCATTCATCCGGCTTGTTCTCCCCCCTCCCTCCTCCCTCCCCTTATTTTAAATTTTTTTAATTTCTTTAAAAATGAATTTAATAATTATTTCTATCATCTTTTGTGTTTAGGAAGAAGTTTTATTTAATTTATTTAAAATTAACTTAAAATTTAGTAGTTTTTTGGAAATTTTTAGAATTAAAAAAATATATATATTTATTTATTTCCTCATTTCCCCTTCTTTTTTTAAAGTCTAGACTTTTTTTAAATAAAAATTTTATTTAAAAATTACTTCATTATATTTCCTTAATTAAAAAAAAAGATTTTAATATTAGTAATCATAATATAAAGTCCTTTTTTAAACAAAAAATTTTTTTTTCAAAAAAAAATTAATTATTAAAGTAAATATGTATATATTTGTTGCAATTATTTTAATCTGATTTTTGGTAAAAATTGTCTCTCAAAATAGTATGTATATATCCTCAGTTTTTTTTTGAATATTTTTTTTTCATTTTTCTTCTCTCCAGCTGTCACTAACTTAGAGTTGTTGAGGGGGTGGGAGGGAGGGGGGGGGAGGAGGGAGAGTTTGTCGTGTTGTTTGTTTTGTCCTTTGGTCTTGCTTCTTTCTTCTCTTTTCGTTGTTAGGACAGTCTAGGACTACCTAGACTGTCTGACTTGATGGCCGACCGGTTGGCACGACAAAAAACGGCTGCCCGCCTTATTCCCTTATGTTTTTTGCGGCCAGCCGGCGCCCAATTTTTATATATAAATGTTGAGGAAGGAAACATTCGTTCAACCATTCACTTCACTCTTCACCCCACCTTCAACCAATATATTCCTCCTCCTCAACTTCTCTTTTTGCTCATTTTGCTTTTTCATTCTTCTTCCTTCCTTCCATCCCCCTTACTCCCTTCCCCCCTTTCGTTGATGCTCATACTCCTCTCATTTTTTTACTTTGCCATTTCCCGCATTCCCGTATTTCTTTACTTCAGAGTTCCTACTCCTCTCCTCCTCCTCAATATTTTCTTCATCTTCTCCCAGTCATTTTTTGTTGTCCTTCAATGTGTATTTAATATATATGTGCACATAATATTTTCTCTAAAATTTTATTTTTAGATTTTTCATTTTCTTAAAAGAATTGAATTTTTTATTTTAAATGAAATGAAATAGAATATTTTTATTATAAATATTTAAATCTTCGATAATTAACATAGTTATGTGCTAAAGCCTTTAATTATTAGGAGGGGTATTTAGATATGTTGTTTTTCTACTTAATTTATTTATAATTGAGGAGGTTAATTGAAAGATTAATAAATAATTGTTTAATAACAACATATTAAATGTGTTTTAGTCTTTTAAAAAATATTTATTTTTGAGTTTATGTTTTGTGTATATTTATATAATTTTATTTATTTATTTATATAATTTTATTTATTTATTTATATAATTTTATTTAAATATTTTCTACGTCAATTTTCTTTTATTAAATTAAAAAATAACTAAATAAAATTATATATTCACGTCATAATTATTTAGATTAAAAACAATTATTTGGAATTGTTTTTGTCTCTAAATATAGAGAAAATTATAAAAAATAGCTGTTTTTGACCAGTCTCGAAATTATTTATTTACTTTATTTTCCAGGTGAAATTATTTTAATTAATTATTAATATGACGATATTATTTATTTAAAAGGACATAAATAAATTCTATAAATATATAAAATAATTTCCAAATATTTAAAAGGATTTACGGTAATTTTGAACTTCGTACCCCCCCCCCCTTTTTTTTTGTTTTAAAAGTATTAAAAATGGTCAGTCTGAACACCAATTGTAGAACCCATCGAGCTGTGTCGAATGACACCAAAATTAACAAAATCTGACTTGATTTGACCGAGATACAGACCTCTGAAAATTGAACAACCACATGGGGGATTTTTTTAAATTAAAAAAATTTAAGCAAATGATAGCTCATTCGACAGAGCTCTTCGAGCTGAGTCGAATGACAATAAAATCAACGTGATTAGACAAGATTTGACAAAGTTATGACATTATTTAGACCTACCGGAGTCGATGATTTATGTCATATCTTTGTCAAATCAAGTCGGATCACGTTGATTTTGGTGTCATTCGACTCAACTCGACGAGCTCTTTCGAATGAGCTATCATTTGTATACTTTTTCGTCCTTTTGGGTTTTCGACCCCGTGGTTGTTTAATTTTCAGGGGTCTGTATCTCGGTCAAATCAAGTCGGATTTTTTTGATTTTGGTGTCGTTCGACACAGCTCGTTGTGTTTTATAATCATCTTAAGACTGACCATTTTTAATACTTTTAAAACGAAAAAAAGAGGGGGGGGGGGTACGAAGTTCAAAATTACCGGATTTACTCATTTTCTCCCACTTTTATTTAAAAATTTCTGAACTAAAATTTTATAAAATTTTAGATATTTCTACAAAAGAGAGACTTTTCACAAGAATTTTGAGGTAAAATTAAATTTTTGAATAAAATTATTTTTGTAAAATGAATGGAATATTAAATTAATTTTGAGGGTTTAAAGTTATTAGAAGCTGGAAATATTTTCTTTTAAATTTTAATAAAGCCTGATTTAATTTAAAAGCAATATTTTCTTTTATTCTTTTTTTTTTGCTTTTCCTCTCTAATCCTTTTAATTAAAGCAATCCTCCTTTCTTTTAATCTTTACTCTCTATTTGTTAGGAAAAAGTGTTGATTCATCATTTTTTGATGATTAAAGCAAATATTGTTTCAAAAACTGATTAGAGGGGAATTTAGAGAGGGAGATATGGTGATTGGGAGGTTGGGGTGGGGGAGGGGAGAAATTGTTGTATATTTATTTATTAGACAGTAATTAAATCGTCTAAAAATGTGGTGATGGTGTGGTTTTTTTTTGAAAAAATATAAAAAAGAAAGAAATAAATATTTTTGAGACAACCAACCAATCACAGAATTTTTTCATTCAAAACCAACCAACCGTTTGGTTTAAATGGAAACAATATTTCTCTTTTCTGGAGGGGCGAACGGATAGGTTAAACACGGGAATAATAAATGGAGGGGGGAATGGGGGACGAGAGAGAAGGAATTGTTGGTATTTAAAAAGTACAAAAATCATGTTAAAAAGAATAATGTGCGTACTTATGTTTTAACTAGAGAAGAATATATTTCGAAACATTTTAGTTTTTAAATATACACCCCCTAATGACGGCCATTATTTTTTTAAAATTTAACTTCGCTTTCCTAAAAATTTTTCCCTTGACCCTAAAAATGAAGAAAGATGACTTCTTGGATTCCTGAAAACTTAGAAATTTTCATCTGTAGCGAAAATTAAGGAGGAATTTTGTCTTCTTGGCTATCTGAAATACCATGCTAAACATGAGGAATTAGCGTCATAAAATTCCCTCTAGGCTCACAACTGTAAAAATTTTCTGATCTTGCCTCCGATATCCAAATTTTTCGGTTAGGATCGTGACTAATTTACATTTTTTAGTTTAGTTTAATGAAACTTTCGTTTAAAAATTAAAAAAAGTGTAAAGTAATGATCAAAGATCTGAATTTTTCGGCACAAAGCCTTCAAAAATTCTCAAAATTTTCTCATGCGGCGCTGGCTAAATTTTTAATGATTAACCAGACTCTTAATTTCTAAAATATTTCTAAAATTTTATTTTAAAATAATTAAATATTATATTCGTGGGTGTATGTTTGTGATTCACCAATGAATCAGACCATCCATTCATTCAATCATTTTACCTCCTCAAATATTTTCAATTTATCTCTCTCTTATTTCTATCTTTTCATACATTTATTCATAACATTTTGGATTAGACTTGAAAAATTTTAAAAATCGTTCGGAAAGGGGGAAGGGCTACAATTTAATTTAAATAATAATTAAATTCTTTCAAAAATTTTTTTTGTAAATTCTTAATTTTCTCACGTATTTATATTTAATTTACCTAAATTAAAATTTATTTTTAATTTCCATAATTATTCAAAAATAAATAAAATTTCTAAGAATTTAATTAATTTTTATATATTTTCAAGCTTTCCCAAGTCAAAAAATTATTCCTTTTTTTAAATTATGGGAAATAAATAAATTTATTTATTAAAAGCTAAAAGCTTTTTCTTTTGATTTCTGACACTTTAAAGTTTTTAATTAAAAAAGAAAAGATTGAAAAAAAATTATTTTTATTTATTTATTAAAATAAAAAATTATTTTTTTATATTTCCAGACATTACACGATTAAATAAAAATGTGGGGAAGGGAGGGGAAGGGGAATAAATAAATAAATATAATTAAAAAATGAATATAACAATTTTTCAAGGCTTTTAAATATTTTTATTTTTAATTTAATTTTTTTTCTTAATTGAAAAAATATATAAATTATTTAAATAACAATACGGTTTTTTAAAGTTTATGTGGGAAATTGATTTAAAATATCTAAGCATTCTAATTTTTAATTAATTAAAACAATTAAATAATGAAATACAAAGACTTTTTTTTATTTATTTTTAAATATACATATAATTGTCTTTAACTTCCTGTTTTTTTTATTTTAAAAATTCTTTACATTTTTATTTCCCAATAAGGAAGGAAGGTATTTTTTAATTTTTTTTTGCAACATAATTTTCTTTTTTTTTATTTTGTTAATTTATTTCAAATGATTCATTGAAAAAAATATTTTTTGATTTTATTATAAATATTTTAGATTCTCATTTAAATATTCATTTTTAAATTTAAATTATTTCAAAAAAAAATTATTTTTATTTTTTAAATTAAAGACAAAATATCCAAAATGACATTTGATCCCCCATTATTATTAATTAATTTATTTTATTTTTTTTGTTATTTTTGCGGTGAGTTAGTTGCTCAGTCATGGTTTGAGTACTCCAGCGTTTTTATAAAATATAGCGGCTGAGGTATTGAATCATGACTGAGGCACTATCTTAAAAATACTGCTTTTTTTAAATAATTATTTCAAAAAAAATATTTCAACAATTTATAATTATTTCTTTTTAAATTAATTTTTATTAAAAACAACAATCAAACATTAAATACCAGGCATATGTAAGTTTTATTTTTATTTTTTTGCTTTTAATTTATTGACAGAAATTATTGGAAACACAATTTATTAAAAAATAAGAAAATTCTTTTAATTAAAAAGCCTCGAATTCCAAAAAAATTAATTCCTCTCAAAATTTCCAAAAAACTTTTTTGTGCCATCTAGTACCAAATAATATCACAGTTAAGGTTATGTGTACATCCCATAAAATAGCCAACCAATCATTTTTTAAAGGGAAATTATTTATTTTGAGGGAAAAAATAAATATACAAATTTTTTAAGAGAATATCAAGGCCAGTTTGTCTTTGCGAAGGAAAAAATGGCTTAAGACCGAATAGTTTTAATTATAAATATTTTTTAGTTAATATCGGGGCTCGCAGACGAAAGTTTTCAATTTGAAGGCCAATAAGCTAGATCTCTTCCTACTTTTCAGCAACGTACGCGAAAATTTTGAGATGAAAATTCACGGATTTATTATCCATGTACAAGTCGATAATTTGATCATCTTTTTTACTAAGGAAGTAGTAGAAGATTAGTTTAAAAATTTATCTCATGATTTTCCAATTTCATATCTCAATTCCTTTCACCTCAATATCTATCAAAAGTACCTTGTCCAAAATCTTAACCAAATAAAGTACAGAATATTCTACATAAATACAATCTCCAAATAAATAATTTGAATTAAGCAGTCTTTTTTTCTGTCCTCTGTTCTCTCTAATTTTATTCCAAGGACATTCCCTCCTTAATTTTAAATTTAATTTAATTATAATTTCCCCAAAAAATTTCCTTTATTTAACTTCCAACCCCAATTTTCTTCTCCTCTCTCAATCATATTTTTTATCCCGTAAATATATATCCACTTGAATGCTTCTTATAATTTTTCAACCTTTCTTGAGTGGGTAAAAAATGTTCAATTTGATCGTGAGCTTTCTTTCTTTTACGCTTTTAATTTTTTTTATTTTTTTAAAATCTTTTCTTTACTTAATACAATAATTATATTTAGTACATTTACTATTTTTATTTTTAGAGAAAATCAAAGTTTTTT